CTGAACAAATATCCCACCAGGTACATTACCTTCTGGCTACATTTTCTTTTAGAAAATGCTTTTTTTTCATGCAAGTGATATATTTTTATGTCTTTTTATGTCAAAAGACAAGACTGCACCAAAAAAAAAAAAATTAACAATTAGCACACAAGAAAAATTAAATCGCATTTCACTAAACACCTATTAATGAATGACCTCTGCAAATAGTTTCTGGAAGTGGCATTGGTTCTTAGTTTTATAAAATGTGCACAACCATACAGGATAAGGACACTTGAAACATGGACCACTTCAAGAGATGAACGGCAGCTTTAAAGAAAATGATTTCTCTATGGTTATTAAAAAGGAAATGGCTTTTTGATCTAATGTTTGACATTAAAAATCATTTAAATATTCCAAAATCTCAACTGCATGTGAACAACTGATGTAATTATTTTTTTTTTCAAACCATTTACAAGCTCTGCTTTTGGTGCTGTTTAGTACATAGTTTGAATGACTCTTTCAGTATGCCAGCTAGTGATGTCTGCAGTGATGTTATACACTATAAGTGAATGTGCAATTCAAGATCCCCTAAACCAATTCAATCTAATCAGCTTTATTCTTTTAATAAGGCTTTATCAAAGAGTTTATTCAACCTATTTTTATTTTTTTAGGGAATAGTTCACCCTCTAAAACGGAATGACTTTTCTTTAAAGCCAGAACAAAATGACTGAATGATGAAAAAACTTTATTTTCAGGTGAACTAGTATCACTACAACAGTAGAACCCAGAGTCCTGACCTGCAAATTGGGAACTGCTAATATTTTATCCAGGCTAACAGGAATATTTACGTAGTTATTTGCGGTGTGGGTCGGGAGCCCTGGGTGGACTGCAGGTCCAATAGTCAAGACTATTTCGACTCAATTTGGTACCAACTGATAGGCAGCAGCTTTCCGGCAGTCAGGTGCTTATTTGTTTTCACGCTCTGTTGTCTAAAGAATGTTAAAAGTTTCTATTTAGCAACTATATATATATATATATATATATATATATATAACAAATATATATAATACATATAACTATATATTTGCAATGTTGAGCACAACGTTTGTGCACTGTAACTGAATTGATTAACAGCGTCAGTCACTCACAGCACTTTGTCTCTGTAGCCTATATAATCTATTAGCAATTTGAATAAAAGCTTTATTTTTCATGCTGCTAAGAGGACCAACAGCCACGTATTGTAGAGTTTCATGAGAGAACAACTGCATTTAAATGCAGTGAATCCGCTAAAATAACCCCAATGTTATAACACAGGCTCATATTTGACTATATGTTATGGATACCTTCAAGTGCATAAGGTGAACAAATCTGCATAATTTTTGCACATCTATTTAAAATGACCTATATGGGCAGATTGTTCATATGATATAGCTAGGCAAAAGATTTGTATATTTTGCATGATAATTGTGCCCTCATCTGTTTTTTTTTATTTTTTTATTACCATTTTGGGCGGCATGTCTAACTATTTTTCTTAACTGCATCAACTCAGAATGCATATTATTGTTGGTTTGATTGCTTGAGTTACATGAGAAAATAATTTCTGTCTACCTAATTCGTGTGAGGCTCAGGTCACAGCCTTTATATCAAATGGTCAGTTACGTAATTAAATGCTGCTTTTGAATAACAGGTCAGGTGTTCTGTTAAAGGGATAGTTCAATTTGAAATTAATTTTTGATTTGTTTTAGCTTACCTCAAGGGCATCCAAGATGTAGGTGTCTTTGTTTCCACAGTATTTTTTAATTTTGACATTTTTCGGTCAAACCGTTGAGAAGTCAAAATGAAACATGATTTAATTACTCGTGAATGTAAGTACACACTGATGGCCTAAGACACGAAACGAGCAGTTTGTGTGAGAAAACTAACATTATTTATATAGTTTTTACCTCTTGTTAACAGCTATGTCGAACTGATCTGAATCAGATGTCCAACTGAACCGAACTGAACCGTTTCCAACGTTACGCCGGAAGTGATCTCTTGCACGTCTACGTCACGCATTGTTTACCCGGAGATAACGTTGGAAACTAGGTAACGTTCTAACGGCATAACGTTGGAAACGGTTCAGTTCAGTTGGACATCTGATTCAGATCAGTTCGACATAACTAAAGGTTAACAAGAGGTAAAAACGATATAAATACTGTTCGTTTTCTCACACAAACCGCTCGTTTCGTGTAGGCCATCAGTGTGTACTTACATTCACGAGCAGGGCCTGAAATTAACACCCGACCACCTGCCAAATGCGGGTGAATTTTGCTATTGGCGGGTAACACTGTCAATCTACCTGCCACATTGGCAGGTAGCCAATGAGAATTGTGAGTGATTCATAGGGTTTTTACATTTCAACGAAGTCTGCTATTGCGTTTGACTTTAGCTAAAATGTGGCGGCACATTACTGGGGTAAAGAGGCCAGCTGAAACAAAACAGCCAACAAAAAGATGAGGATGAGAAAAAGAAAAGTAAAGAAGACATTTTAATACAAAGTGAACAATCGGCGGCAAAGGCAAGGTTCGTGAGCGGCTGATTTATGACAGCGACTGTTGTTTCGTAACGTTCATGCGATCAGAAAGAAGATGAGGCTCTTTTTCTGACTACGTGTGCGAGTATTAAACTGTTGATGAGATGGGATGAGATAATGTAACGCGTCGCTGTTGTAGGTTAAAGTACAATGACAGTTGTACAGATGTGTGTGCGTGTGCAACTGTGCATGTTGGGAGTTGGGAACCGGTGAGAAAATGTCCGGTACCCGGTAATTTTATCAGTAATAACAGTATCAATTTAGTTCATATTTAACCGTTCCTGAACGCTGTAACTAAAAGCTGTTAAGAGTAAGACCTACGTGACTATCCGCCATCAACACAGCCGCGTGTGATTTGTTTACGAGCTGCGGTAGGTCTATCTGTTGAGTATATATTATAGCCTATACTATATATGTTGTGTGTGTGTGTGTCTGTCAAAATCAAGGAATAAAAAGATTTTTTTTTTTTTAAAATGTATGTTATTAGAGTTATTATTACTTGACAGCACTTAAATGTGTATTCTTACAAGTTAAAGAACAATATTGTGAAATTCCTGTTTTTTTTTTTTTTTTTTTACGTTTATGAGGCAAAAAAAAAAAGGCTGGTAAAAAGTCTCTTTGGCAGGTGAATTTTTAAATCCACCTGCCACAGTGGCCGGTGGCCGAAAAAATTAACTTCAGGCCCTGTTCACGAGTCATTAAATCATGTTTAATTTTCACTTCTCTGTGCATACTCTTTGAGGTGGACCCCCTAAACCTGCATTATATGACTGACAGACAACACCGGTTTGACCAAAAAATGTCAAAATTGAAAATACTGTGGAAACAAAGACACCTACATCTTGGATGCCCTTGAGGTAAGCTAAAACATCAAAAATGAATTTCAAAGTGAACTAAGTAAGTACTGCGGGTGCAGGATGGATTTACCAAGCAGGGCCCGTGCAAGATTCTTGAGTGGAATCATTCACAATGGACAGTTAAACCTTTGAGAGACAACACGGAAAAACACAATCTTAATGCTCTAAAAGCGCGATAAACGAATACTTGCACAGTTGCTCTTTGTGTGGCTGCTTTGAAGGCGTGTGGATGTGTGCTCTGTGGGAGCGTCACATGGCCTGCGGATGGGTCCGGAGCATGCACTTTCAAACGAAGGTTTAAAGTTCTCGGACGTAAAATGCCAAAGAAACAATTCAGGCTAAGTTAATTTACCCATCTGGGGAAATTAACAAAGTCAAAAGGAAAAACAAAACTGAAAGAAAAAGATCCCCGGAGGGGTGATCCCGAAGGAGTTACACGATGAAGTGCCACCGGAAGAAAGGAAGAAGAGAGCGCTAATCTTGATGATCAGTGATTTAAAACCGTGAAGATGTCACACCCTCTGGAGAAGTGTGAGACAATGGGAAACTGCCACTTTGAAGGGAGTTTGACTCTTCATCTTGTCAAAGCTCGTTCATTTGCATGTTTCATGACAAGGGTGGTCAGAGTCATGATGCGCATCATTTCTACTCTCAAAAATGGAAAGTATAGTGTAACGCATTGTATCATAACCTAGGATGAATTTTTGACTGGAGGAAGCCGCAAGGATTCCAATGATAACAAGCAAGGCGCGCAAACACGAAAGGAAAGCAAGGTTACATTCATTTGCATGAACATAGGCATTCAGAGTTTGTATAACACATCTAGAGAAGTCATGATTATACTAAAATGACAATAAAACACATGGGTATGCAGGAATATATCATGTTCTTTTCAGAATTAGTCAAGTTACAGATTTCAATGAAGGAATGTCTGTTTATGCGTGTACGTTTTGGAGAGAGCTTTCTGGCCACCTGGCAACTTGGAAAAGTGCATGTACCCTATGACCCCTTTAAGAAATATCATTAATTCCAAAGTCATTAACATCATTAATATCATTCATTTTGAATATCAAATATCATTAATTCCAAATTCCTTGGCTTATGATGACTGTGTGTGATGGGACTGTGTGTTCAGTGATATATGCATGCCACAGCAACTGTGTGGGCAGATTTATTTTGTGTTGTGTAACAAAACAAAAAAAAGAATCTAAATCTCATAGGATGCCTATGAACCAGCAACGATGAGTAATTTTGTTCAGTTTCATTTTGAGAGCGTGATCCTGGTATAACGATACCTAACAGTTGCAAATACATCACTCTAAAATGCAAGCCTTTTTTATTAAAACCTGAAATTGTGGGCTCTAACTTGCAAAGACTCAACATCCACAAAACAATGTGGATTGCGGTTTGACAAAATATGAGGTTTATCTGCTGGGGTTCTTACAAAAGCTTATGAATATGAGCAAAACACTCATCAGAGGTTTATTGAAGGAAATGGTAATTTACAGTTTTTGTATGAGTGAAATGAACATCAAAATCTAATCAGCCTTGTCATACAGCAGTATACAAAAAGACAAAGGTGAATCATTTGATTTGGTTAATGTTGGCATCCAGTTTGATTTTAATTTGATAAATACAGAAATTTTAAAAGAATCCATTTAAAATAGGCACACTTACATGCCGCTATTTAAAAATTGATAAAAAAAAAAAATTATGCATTAGAGCATATACATAAAAGAAACATATTTCAAAACTTTAACTACTTGATTGTCCAATTAGAGTTACTACATCTATTTAGTAATCACTCTCAAACCCATAAAGACCTTCAACTGTACATAAACAAGGTAAACAATGTGTCTGTTTTATGAATACTTAGTGTCACGCTCCAAGTTCCTTGGCTTATGATGACTGTACGCCCCCAAAACCATTGGAAGTATTCAATCTGGGGTGGTTGATTGAATTAAAATCAATGACAATCTTTCCTTGCTTCGGTTTGAATTGCCTGTAGGACAAGAAATAAGAACAGAAAAATAAATAAATATATTACTGAAGCATGTCCAAATAAAACGCAAGTAGTTTGTCACTCATCAAATCAGAGACGTTTTAAAAAACACCTTTATAAAATTGACAAAGAGAATTCACTTCTTGTCCTCATTGTCCAAGTTGTCACACCTATAATTCACCTCAGCATGCTAGAGTTGAGGAAACCAATTACACACTAGTCCTCATGAGAGAACACAAGCAGCATCCTCTCCGAAAGGCAATCCCAGCAGGGACCAAGCACCTCAACATCTTATGAGAAAATACCCTGCCAAGAAGAACCAAACCAGCAGGTGGTAAACTCCTTTTCCCCACTTTTAGCCTTTTCTTCCATCTGCATTTCAAACCTTGCTTTTCCGTTCCTTTTATTTTTCTCGTTCTCAATTCACATTTACCCCACTCTTTTTACTCTTCATTCTTTTACTAACCCCTCCCCCTCAGTGTGAGATGAGCTGGATGTGGCAAAAATCTATTCCTCATCATTGCACCTCTATAACAACAGAAGCAAATGCATACAAATAGAATCTCTGATAGAATCTCAAACAGAAATGATGCCTGAGCAAATCGATTCATCTTTTTATTCAGAATTCAAAATGCAGAACTCTGCACACAATGGTAAAGTTTCAATCCTTCATTTCTCATCATCTGGCACTTAAAATGAATAAATAAAAAGCTGAAAACATATGCTTTACTACTGCAGTTCATTGTCTCAGAGTTCAAAGTCAGATCTAAACTTTTATCAGACATGCAATTAGCGCATTGAATTCCTTTTTCGCAGGTCAAAAATGTGCATAGGGGAAAAATTGCAAGCAAATGTAATAAAAAAATATTAATAATAAATAATAAAAATAATTAAATATAATTAAATAAAAATAAATATACACATACATACTTCAGTACTGTGCAAAAGTCTTAGGCACGTTAGTATTTTCAATAAGACAATAAGATATCTCTACAATAAGATTTCTTTTCTGAAATATTTTTTTAAACATTACATAAAACAAAGAAAATCTAACTCTTTTTGTGAAATGTTTTGCTTGAAAAGTGTTTTAGTTCTATATTTCCTTAAAATAAATACCACTTGGTTTCATATTTTGTTATATAAATGCTAAACCATGCCTTCATTTATGATAGGCTTAAATGTCCAAATACTTTTAAGGCCACTGCATATATACATAAAATCGATATGGCACAGGTGAAAATGTAACTGTGCAGTAGGAATGTTTAAATGTCCAGATGGACACAGTGATGGGTGTGGAATAGATTTTAATATCTTTATTAAATAGCCTATGGCTCTGCAATCAAAGGGCTGAAGAAATGGAAATGCAGAGATCCATAGTAATGCTGGAAGTATTGGAGAACAACCTTCAAAAAGTGGCAGCAGGGGAATTAACCTTGCTACCCTCAAAGACGGGCAAGAGGCATGAAAGTATCTTCAAGGATTTCCTGATTTTCGTCTTCAGGCGGATCTACTCCTTTTGTCTCCTCAGGCTCATGTCCCCCCAGTCCTATTTGATCTGACTATGATGAAAGGCTTCAGAGTTTATTTACCGTGCATCTATATATAGTGTGTACATACAACTGGGAAGATGAGATTTCCGTCCAGTCCGCTCTTGCTGTGGTTCCCGCTGGCTCTCTCTAACATAAAGAGGACTTCTTGTTAGGACTGCTAACCCCACAGCGAGTTCAGTTAAGTTGTAAGTTAACCCTGAATCTCATTAAAAATGTAAAAAAAAAAAGTGAAGGGCTTCTTTGCTCACATTATGCGTTTAATCGAAAGGTTTTAAAAGTTTGCATTTACATTTTGCTCTTTTAACCCTCTGTGGTCTGAGGTGTTTTCTGGGTCCTATAGTAGGCTTGCCGCGATACACGGTGTTGACGGTGTTACCGGTTTTAAGCCCCATCACCGGTGACATCACTTTCCCACCGTGACACCGCGATGTCTTGACTTTTTTTTTTTAAAGTATTCGTTTTTGCTAAAATATTTATTTGAATTAATTAAAAATAATCATTTTCAATTATTTAGTTCTGAAGAGAGCATTATAATTAAAAATGAGCTGCGCAACGCGTGCCGTCACGTCACAGATCAGCAAGCATCAGGATTCCATTTAGCACGTGTGGAGACGAGAACGAGTCAAATTACAGAAAAGCAAGATAATGGCGGAAGATTTGGTGTCAAAACGCAATGCAAAAGCGCCTGTTTGGCAATATTTTGGCCAATATATATTAATGTTAATAAATGCCAATTTATAGTGTTTTACTTTTTTTTAGAGTGCTGTCATTTATGTAGGCTAAGGTCCTTTTTAAAGTTTTTATTTTATATTCGTCTCTTTTTATTTGGTTTTATCTTATTTAAACTTTGTTTAATTTATTTAAGCCTATTTTGTTTTCTTATTCGTTAATAAACGTTTTATTTGTTTGGGCCCACAGTTTGCCGATTTTCACTTTTTTCAGCCTATGCATGGGGTTATTTTTATTCGTTCGTTATGCTAATAAAAGTTCTGTCTATATTTTATTCGTTTATTATTCTAATAAAAGTGCTGTCTAAATAAAAGTTTATTGTCAGCGAGTTTTTTTTTTTTTGTCCATTCCAGCAATTGACGCTGAATTGCAATTGACGCTTATTTCGAAAGTGAAAGTATGTCATTTATGTAGGCTAAGGTCCGTTTTGAAGTTTTTATTTTATATTCGTCTCTTTTTAATTGGTTTTATCTCATTTAAACTTTGTGTAATTTATTTAGGCCTATTTTATTTTCTTATTCGTTAATAAACGTTTTATGGTTCTTATTTGTTTGGGCCCACAGTTTGCCGATTTTCACTTTTTTCAGCCTATGCATGGGGTTATTTTTATTCGTTTGTTATGCTAATAAAAGTTCTGTCTATAAATAAAAGTTTTATTATCAGCGAGTTGTTTTTTTTTTTGTCCATTCAAGCAATTGACGCTTATTTCGAAAGTGAAAGTATAACGCGCACGCATTTAAAAGCTATTTAACCCCCCCGCCCTGCCCTCCACGGTGACACCGGGATTACCGGTGTTGTCACACGTCGATTAACCGGTGGGAAATTTTCCTCACCGCGGCAACCCTATCCTATAGGTGTTCTGACATGTTCTGACTTTTGTGCTTATTTCTGTTACTTGTGACATTTTCATGGCTAAAGTCTTACACTGTATTCAGCACAAAATCGGCTACCATGATATGTCAGCAGCATGTCGGTAAAAGTTTGTAGTTTTGAGATAATGACGTTTTTGTGTGGTTTGTGGAAAAAAAATAAAAAAGAATTGTCACTGAAATAAGGTAATGAAACCCATAGTAATTATTTCTTCACAATTTTGAAAATTGAAATTGCACTATTGCACTAGTGCAATGTGCTTAGTGATAAGCACTATTTTCGTGAAAAATGTAACCTGCAATTTACACCAAGTCTTAAATTTTAAGTGCAAAATTTTTGCTGCTATTTAGGGAAAAAAAAAGAAATCGCGTTTGCCGACCCTAGAGGGTTAATCCCTGTAGTCTTGAACTTTAAGCTGACACCTTTCGGCATGGTACTCATTCTGTTCGGACTGTCTAGTGGATCACACACACGATCGGTTGCACTTTTAAGGTGACGTTGTTGATGATCTTTCAACTTCTTTGTCATGTTTGTCTGTTCAGTCTGACTGTATATATTCATGTTTAAAACTTTGCTTGTTTGTAAATATGTCATTTACGTTTTGTAAAACACCTTAAAGGTGCATTGTGTAATATTTATGAGGATTTGTTGAAAGAAATGCAATATTATACACAAGTTACACATTATCCATAAGTGGCTTTCAGTGGTGAATAAAGACCTTACTTTATGAACCGTTGTGTTTTTATTATCTAAGAATGAGCCATATCCATCTGCATACAACAAGGGTCCCCTTACATTGAAATACACCGACATGTTTCTACAGTGGCCCTAAACTGTTTTTCGTGCAAGGAAGCTAGCTAAAGTCAACGAATAAAACACTGACAAAATGATGAACAAGTAAAAATAATATTCGCAATAACATCATTTTACTAAATAATACAGTAAAACTAATTTCTTAAAGGACAAGTTCGGTATTTTACAATTAAAGCCCTGTTTTAAGATCGTCCCTTATGAAATAGAATGGTTAAGATTGTTTTTTAGACAGATGCTGCTGTCACGAGAATTTTTGGATTCTGTGTTAGCACCCCCCCACCTTTATAATGAAAGCATAGGTGCACTCGAACAATCATTCATTAAAACGCATAAAACTTTAGTTTACAAAGACGTGAAACTCACCGAGTGGTCTGGGGTGTTCACTGATATGCTCACACAAAAATCGCTGCAAAAGATGCTTTCCAACAGGTTTTATCGTAGTTTTTGTCCAAGTCCATTTTCTTCCTGTTTTTGTTCGAAGTCCACATTAGTCGATTATCGAGTTTGCGTGCGCAATCCTTAGTTATCTAGTTACCAATGATCGCGCACGTGAACTCGACAATTTATTACTGTGGACTTCGACCGAAAACAGGAAGAAAATGAAGTCGGACAAAAGCTACGATAAAACCTGTTGGAAAGCATCTTTTGCAGCGATTTTTGTGTGAGCATATCAGTGAACACCCCAGACCACTCGGTGAATTTCACGTCTTTGTAAACTAAAGTTGTATGCGTTTTTATGAATGATTGTTCGAGTGCACCTATGCTACCATTGTAGAGGTACCATTGTTTTAGACAGGAGCATCTGTCTAAAAAACAATCTTAACCACTCTATTTCATCAGGGACGATCTTAAAACAGGGCTTTAATTGTAAAATACCGAACTTGTCCTTTAATTTATCTTCGTAAAGAAAACCTCATTGCTAAACTGGCTACTCTCTGCGGTCTCAGACGACAACATCTTTTCCTGTCGGCCACCGTAACTTCTGTGGGTTGCAATTTGCAACCTCATCACTAGATGCCGCTAAAAAAAAACACAAAAAAAAACTACACGCTGCAAATTTAAGTACTGATTTCAAGTATCATACAAAAGTATTTACGTTTTTATTATTATAATTATTATTAGAAGTAGTAGTAATAGTAGTAACTCAGCTGCTGTCATTGATACCAACATGCATGAGGGGAAAACCAGCCCACGCCATCTTGGATAAAACAGCTTTTCTAGGCCACTGACATACCTGCAGTCTTCATTTCATGTAGATATAAGATCATTGTGCATCATATTTTTTCAAATAACACTAATTTCTTTGTTTGCCAAAAATACAACTTTACAATACAATACAGGATTTTCTTTTAATCACCCACCAGGCTAGTCTGTTAACCCTCTGGGGTTGTTCGTTTCAGAGTCACACTCGGGGTGTTCGGGTCCAAATGGACCCAAAGGGCGGGATTCATATTTTAAAAAAAAATTTTTTTTTTTTTTTACTTTTTTTTAAAATTAGTATTAATGCAATAATTATGACAAAATTTCCCCCCATTGAACATAGTAGAAAAAAAATATATATATATATATATATATAATTTTTTTTTTATTTTTTTAAAGCTGTATTTCATTTTAGAGTCAACCCTAGGCCTCATAAAAGTAATTTTTGAAATGTGATGGATGCCATCTGGTAGACAAACTGAGCATTTTAAAAATGCAAAACATGTATAATCTGAATTTTTTTGGTGTGTGTAAAATAGTGTGTTTGTGTGTGTGTGTGTGTCTGGATGTGTCTGTTTTGCACTCTTGATGATTTATAGATTCACCCCTTCACTGTTGTGTGCTTTTTTTCAAGATCGTGGCTGATTTGTAGATTGTACGCACAAAAAAACTCACTATTTTCACATTTTTGCCAATTTGCATGCAGGTCCACCCGAACACCCCAAGTGTAACTTTTTTTTTTTACAACCACTTAGACTATTCACATCCTGTCCCCAATTTTTTTGGGTGTTCAAATACCAAATACTAACAAAGTCACCAAATTTCGGACCATTCCGAGGAAGCTGATTTAAAAAAAAAAAATTATTTAAATTTTTCGGGTCCATTTGGGCCAAACAACCCCAGAGGGTTAAAGTAACAGTACACAGCACTCTAAACAAGCCACAAGATTTGAGATATCATTCATGTCCACTGCACAAACAAATGTTTGTATACAGGTGTGTGTATAAAACAACAGTAAAATATAAAAATATAGCATTAGTAAAATATAAAACGTCATTAATATGACTAGTCAATTGTGGCTGTTTATTGCACTTTTGAAGGTGATCCGATTTGGCTTCCTATGGAGTATGAGACAAACCCAGACTTGTGCACAGTGCTTACTCATTTTTCCCCAAGCGTGTCTTTTTTCGAACGCTCACAGAAGCTTTTTGATGCTTCAGGTCACATATACACCCACACATCTGAGGGTCGGGCTCCGTTACAGCCTTGATTGTACAATCGTTCGGGCCAGTCAGATCCGACAGGAATGCAAATGAACCCTCTTAATTTCCAAGCCACACACCAGCCCCTTACTAAGGTCAGACTCGAGAGACTTACTTGTATGTGATGCCCGCCAAGTTAAGAAGACGTCTAGAGGCAGTCATTTCTGGAGTGTCATGGTATTTGTCTGACAAATAGATCACATCCTTTATACCTGTAAGGCAGAGACAGCAGAAGGATAGTGTGGGTCAGACAACACACAAGCAAACAGAGGGAGAAATTCAAACAAACAGGCCCAAAGAGAACAGGGACCCAAAATAGCCTGTTAGGAAAGAACAAAAGCTTGTGCTAGGGGAGAAGGAAGGTGAGTCGATAACTTGTCGCTGCAGGCTTAAACCAATATCAACCAATCCCAATTGAAATGAAATCTGCCCTGCTGGTATCTAAAAAATGTGGGGTATTTGGCAGCACCCCCACGCATCCTGCTGACTACTCACAAGCGGCCCACATGAGGAGACTCTATAAAAGGCCCTGTAAGCCAAGTTTTACAGAGAAACATGAGGAATCTGGTAAAACCACTTTAGACCACTCTTGCCCTTAACACTTTCAGAGGTGAAAAAGAGTAGTCCAACATAGCCAATGGTTGTTAAAATTGCAGGTGAATACATCAGAGAGAGAGAGAGAGAGAGAGAGAGAGACACATACACACACCACCCCAAAATACACAGCGTCTCGATCATGTACTTTTATCTGCACAGGAGGAGAAAAGTGCTCTGATCGAAGGCAAAATGACTTGCACAGAGTGAATTCCACCTTTCATTAAAGGCTGTCATTACAAGCATGGGGCCTCTGCATGGAATTATTTGAACAATTTTTTAGAGGAAACAGATGAAATTACCATGGAACAGTCTGGTTATGCCATCTTAAAACAATTTTGTTGGTGACAGCGAAGAGCGGGGGGTTGGTTGGAATGACTTTGTATATCCAAGTCTCACCTGGCTATTTAAGATAAAAATCAAGCACTCATGGTCCAAAAAAAACATTTAAAGTGTTCATACTAAAACCTGACGTGCTGCGTAAAGGCTTTCATGTAAACATGCCTTTCCATGAAAAGAACATGAGGATAAGTATCGAAGCTGCTCAAAACACTTCCAAAACGACAAGCTGTCCAACAGAAAGGAAGCTTCTGATGGAAGGTGGAGCAGAACTCTGGAGATGCCACGTTTCCAGAAAGCTCTCCGGAGATGAGGTGACAGGACAGTCCCTCAGTCCCTCCAAAAACAGTCACAGGAAGTGACAAGATGGCAGCTGCTTGGGAGCTGAACACTTTAATTCCTCAGAGAGAGGAGAGGCTCTAAAGCAGCGCTTCAGAAATGCTGTCGCTGGCACCGAGAAGCTAAAGTGCAGGGGGGACATCAACATGGGAGCCAGAGGAAGTAAAAAAAAAAATGATTGGTGTCATTTCAAACAGTGAGATTGAGAGATAGAAACGTTTGAACTGCATTTGAAAAGAGCAGTAACACTTTCTCACTGGAGGAATAGCTACAGCATTAGATACAGAAGGGGGGAAATGTAATATCTTGGGTCTTCTACTTCTCTTTTACAATGACCAAAATTACAGACCAAGAAAAAAATGGGGAGAAAGTACAATGAAAGATCCAATTCTAGTATAAGAACAGTTGTCAATGGGTGCGTTTACATGATGAGGTCAAGTTTAATCGCAATATTGCCAAAATCCCATTATAATCGCATGCAATCTCAATACTTCGTTCGAACTAATGCGATTAAGCTTATAATTGTAGTAAATATTCGCATTAAACTATGCAGCGTACTCAGATTTCAAGATTAGCAAATAATCAGAACAATCAAAATTGCATGTAAACTGGAGTGAAGAGATCTGCTTGTGTCATGTAAACATTTTACTGCGATTAAAACCTTAGTCCAATTATTAGAAACAAAATCACATTATTGGTGCACATCTAAACATGATCATTTGACCAACAAGGAAAACTTTATGTGTGAATCAAATGGAAGCTTTGGTGGGGCACAAAAAAGCATACCAATGGCACCAAAATATTGGAAAACTTTCCTTTTAATAAATCCCTCTGGTTGTAATTAAAATATGTTAGTTTTCTGTATGAGAGGCACACACCAACATTATCAAAAGGTTTACCATGCACATATAAACAAGATAAAGGCTGGATGCCTTTATAAGAGAATCAGGGTGGATTCGCATTCCAAGTCCACTAATATTCCTTTTATCCTCATGTTTTTTACATGCAGAGGCTTTTGTGTTTCCTCATATCGTGAGGCTTTAAAACTTCTAGTAAACAAACATGGCAATAACACCTTCAAAATTAACCAACAGCAACGACACCCTGTCTCAATTCTTTTAAACTCAGCATTCAAACTTTAAACATCCACTTTGTTCAGCTCCATCTGATTGGCATCATCAGAGGGTGTTTTTAATGAGGTCGGACGATCATTTTTAGCCGCGTTTTGTTGCATCCTATAGAGCGCGAGGAGACGAAAGGGATGTGTGTGTTCCTTAATGATGCCGGAGCATTGAGAGGAAGCTGACACCCCACTGAGAGATGGGCCGGGGCAAGGCCAAGCATCCTGAAGATCAGACGGCGTAGGAGCGTGTGTCGTGCTATCTTCAGCACACAGCTTCAGTAGGCTTTGGCACAAGAGTACATGGAGGGGAATCAGAGAGAGAGAGAGAGAGAAAGAGAAAATCAGGACAAAAAGACTTGGAGGGGAGGAGAGAGAATGGGGAAGAGGGTGTTAAGAGAGTTCAACAGATAAGAAGAGATTGAAAATAACAACAGAACAGGGTTTGGAGAAGAAAAAATAAGAGGAAGACAACCTGTCACTATGTTGGCTGTATCCAAGCAGCCAAGAAGGCTCACAAAGAAGCTGGCTGCTCAAAGTGACACCCACTACACGTTTTTCAAGATGACCATAGAGATTGAACCTCAGTTTATACCCGGCCGCCGCCTCTGTCATTTCATCAGCACTGATAAGGTTGCCACTTTTTTTTAAAAATAGCTCACGGTTTATAAAGCGGTTAATCTTGTGTATACCTAAGAAAATATAAATATTAAATGTGTTTGAAGTGGAAAGTATATAAAGCACACAACAGAATTCTTTCCAAGCATAATTAGTCATTATTGTTGCTAAATTGTTGTACTGTTAGAAAAAGGATAATGAAACTATACAGATGCGACAATTAATTAAAACCGCACTATACTTCGGAGGTATATGCATGGCATGTGCCAATCAGACTGTGTTCACATCGATAGAAACAGTTTGAGGGCGCATGTACACTCTGTCACACGTCATAGTGCAAGACAAAGCTGTTTAAGAACTCAACAGAGATTCCATTAAATTAAAGAATACCCTAAATAATTTATTCAAATGATTTCTCAATGTAGCAGTTTTGGTAATAGTATTGAATTAATTTTTTTAAACATCTCTGGTGGCAAAGAGACAACAGGACGGTTCATATCTGTTCCCTGCATATCGCAATTTACAGCATAGTGCATTTTCCGGTGGCATATAGCTTAAAGGGATACTCCACTTTTTTTGGAAATAGGCTAATTTGACCACTCCCCCAGAGTTAAACGGTTGAGTTTTACCGTTTTCGAATCCATTCAGCCGATTTTCTGATATTTAGAAGAATATCAGTAACCAGACAGTTTCTGGACTCATTGACTTCCATAGTAGGAAAAAAATATACTATGGAAGTCAACGAGACCAGAAACTGTCTGTTTACTGATATTCTTCTAAATATCAGAAAATCGTCTGAATGGATTTGAAAACGGTAAAACTCAACTGTTTAAAAATGAGACTATTTCCAAAAAAAAGTGGAGTATCCCTTTAATGCTTTTATATATGTTGTAAAAGGGACTTTTTGAATTGACATCCGACAGACAAATAAAAAAAATAGTGCTGTCAAATCGATTAATCGCATCTAATATACGTTTTTGTGTATATAATATGCATGTATACAGTGGGGAGAAGTAGTATTTGATACACTGCCGATTTTGCAGGTTTTACAAAGCATATAGAATTGTTTTTATCAAAGGAACTCTTCGAACGCAAGTAACGGAATCTAAAACAAAAATCCAGAAAATCACATTGTATGCAAGTAATTCATTCGCATTTTATTGCATGACACGAGTATTTTATCACCTACCAACATTGTTGGGGAAGTTACTTTTTAAAAGTAGTGTAACTCGTTAAAGTAATCTGTTTTTCTTTTGTTTTGTTTTTATGTGCAAAAGAAAAGTGTTAATAATGTGTAATCTATTGTGTTGTAATATCATTTGGATTAATAAAAAAGTTTGAGAAAAAGTTTGAGTTGAGACTTTTTACGTTACTTGTTATTTTATGTTGCTTGACTTTGGGCAGAACCCAATATCTGTTCCAAAATGTGTAGGCATTCAGTTCTACAATGCATAATGGCATATATAATGCCATAAATGCATAATGCATTTATCAAAATTTTTAATATTTATGAAAAAATGCCTGTTAATGGACAGGCATATACATGGGCGGCGCTAGGGAAGGGCTAGAAAGAAAGCCCCCAAGAAAGACCAAAGCACTCCCAAAAATAATTTCTGGACACAATTTGTACAAATAGAGTGTCTGTAAGTCTACTATGTGTAGTAGCCATTACATAAGTGCATTTAGTTTCATATTTGTTAAAATATTATAGTGTTATTTTTTCCGTCTATGTTGATTATGAAAAGTGAACAGCATGAGTAAGAATGGATGTGCAACATATCGGTAGACATTGAGTGGGTCAGACATGATCCATCATGACCACTTCATTAAGTTTTGTTTTGAAGAAAGCCTTTCTTTAAAGTTAATTTCATTTTGTATAAATTGTATCGTAACCCTCAATCGGGTCATGGGATCAATACGACCCATATCGACTTTTACTCCAAAAAAAAAAGGTTCCCTTCATCTCAGTGGAAGATTCTGTGACTTTTCATACATTATCTATCTATACACACAACAAAAACTGGGCTTGATTCGGTTGTTCTTGTTCTGAAGGTATGTAAAAAAAAAAATGTTTACACTTCTGGTCTTCGGAGTCAATATAACCCCACATTTAAATGAATGGGAAATGTGAAAAAACTAAATATATTTTCTTCATGTATCAAAAAAAAAATCTGGCAGAAATCTGAAAATTGAAGGCCTAGTCCTAGAGCATAAATGCAATGTATCATTAAAAAAAAATATATATATTTTATTTGCTAATGGTGTAGTTGAGTAATTGTGTGCTATATGGATATAAAAGTACTTTATATCTCCAAAAACACAGCATTAATGAATAGATGAGAAGTAAACAAAAAAATTATATATTATTTGTATGATTAAAGAGAAACTATACCCTAAACCAACTTTTTTAGTTAATGATCTGTAAGAATGGATCTTTATTAATACCAGTTATTGATTCGACTAACTTTTTTGACATGTGTATAAAGTGTTTTATTTCTACAATATATGGTGTAAAAACGTCTTAGTGCTGCCCTCTTCAGGTTGAATGGTGGCTACTGCAGTTGAATTTTCCTACTGGATGTTAATGGTTCTTCGTGTCGTACGCATGTTTCAGCTCGAGACTTCCATAGATTTCCACGACGCATGCGCGAGAACTGAACTGAAGTAGTTGAAGGAGATCGCAATTCTCGCGCATGCGTCGTGGAAATCTATTGAAGTCTCGTTTCAGGCCAACAAGGAAGAAAAGGAATAGTCGAATAAACTCGTTATTTTTGTTTGTTTTTTCGCACAAAAAGTATTCTCGTCGCTTGATAAACTTATAGTTGAGCCACTGTAGTCACATGGAATATTTAAACATTTTCTTCACTGACTTTCTGGGCCGTCAAGTGTCATTCCCTTAGGAGCCTATGTGGTAGTTACACAGCTCTCAAATTTAATCAAAAATATCTTAATTTGTGTTCCGAAGATTAACAAAGGTCTTACGGGGTTGGTACAGCATGGGGGTGAGTAATTAATGACTTAATTTTCATTTTTGGGTGAACTAACCCTTTAAGGTTTGCTTTTCTGATGTATCAAATACTTGTGCCATGCAATAAAATGCAAATGAATTACTTAAAAATCATACAATGTGATTTTCTGGATTTTTGTTTTAGATTCCGTCACTCAGTTGTGTATGTGTGTGTGTGTGTGTGTGCATATTAGTGCCATCATTCAATAAAAAAAAGTGTCAAAAAGTTTAGTCTGAAAAAGAAAAAAAAGTTTGAAAGTCTGAAAGTTTTCAGAAAAAAGTTAGTCTCATTCATTTCCATTAGCCAAAAGGCATTTAATTAGTATTTAATTATTTTATTTTTTAAAAAATCAAATTCATGCAATTTTCACAGATAAACATATATTTTAGGATTTTTATATATTTTTCATGGAAACATATGCTGTATTTTTTGCAGTGTAAATAATTGTAAGACTCAGAGCTACACTGACTGACAAAACATTTTAAAAATAAACAAACATATCTTACCGTTTCCTACTGTCTGTCTGTGCACGACATAACACCAACAGACACTACACCAACAGTTCAGCAGTTCTTGATTAGGTATAAATCTTTTTTGAGTAGGACAAATCTTTTACACGCCAATGTTGCAGCAAAGAAACAGAACATAACCTTGAGCAAACTATTAATGCACTGGTGCCGGTTAAGAAATGAATATGACAATTAGCGCTTGTAACCATAGTTTCAATGTGCTACTATGATTCCTGATCAGTGGAAATAAATGTGTTGATTGAAAAAAACTAGACATGAACAGTTAGAAACAAATGCTAAGATACACTCTCACCTGCTTGAATAATAAGTTTGGCGCACTCGTTGCAGGGGAAGAGCGCTACATACATAGTGCAACCCTTGACATCTGCTGAGTTCTTATTCATGATGGCGTTCAGCTCTGCGTGACACACTGCAACAAGACATGAAAGACCTGTTAGAAACGTTCAGGGGTCACAAAATATCATACATGTAGCACATCATAGCTAAGATTAACAATTCTGCTTCACAACAAACATGGACTGAGCTTTTTTTTTTGCTTGTAAACATTGTACCACTCCGCCAGAAAAAGGCTCCAGTCACCAGTTCACTGTTATAAAGGAAAAAGATTTCAAAGCATGAGTCTGAACAGATGTCAGCTCTTCACAACATCACCCAGAAAAAGCCCCGTCTAATCACTCACTCTGCTCGCCTTAATTATGGAGAATGAATTGGCCCATCAGTGGTGGCACATTACCACTGCACCAAGAAACACCGGCCTGAAACACGTTTATTTTGGCAGAGCTTCAGCACAAGGCAGAGAGAGAGAGAGAGATGGGGGGGGTAGTTATGATGGAAGAGAGATGTCAGTAATTCACACAGTTACATACACACATTGTGTGTTTAACTGGAAGCAGGCACACACACAAAGCTGAGAGAGTGTGCATGATAAAGCTCATGATGGAGTAAGATCAAATGAGTGAACATGGGAGGGACTGAGCTATTAAATCTATCAAAATAACATTTGATACATGTTTGGTAGTAATCTGACTGGACTGTTGTTTATTAAAATGTAGCATGGAAGATATTGTTATTAATGGACTGCAGCAAAATAAAAGCATAAAAATCAAGTAACATTTTCAACTCTGTGGTTGCAGTGTATAAACACTGTCTCCTATTAGAGAACGAGATGAAAGTGTCATTATGTTTCTCAGGGCACAAAAAAAAAAAATTCACATTACCAATAAATCTTATATTTGGTATTTCAGCATCCTCTAGTGGCACAATACTGTACAGACAATTATTTTTTCCAATTTCTCAAATCAGAAAAAAAAATTCAAATAGTCCCCTCCACCCTCATAAACACTGTGAATGACAAATTGAGTTGGTCTCCTTAAACAAATTCCGTCCTGCGGATGAGACATTAAACCGGGGCCCTGGCTCTCTTTTTGTGGTTACAAAAAAATCCCAGGTTGTATTTCAGAAAGAGTAGGGGTGTAGCCTCTGTACATCATGGCCTCCTAATAATCCCCATATATATTTATATATATACCAATTGGCTTCAATCACTGTCTCTATGGTGGGCGTTCTGGCGCAATATGGCTGCCGTGCCGTCGCATCGTCCAGGTGAATGCTGCACACTGGCGGTAGTTGAGGAGATTCCCCCTTCTATATGTAAAGCGCTTTGAGTGCCGAGAAAAGCGCTATATAAATGTAATACATTTTTAAACTCTGAACTTAAAAGAAAATTTAGCAAAAATATAAATTGTTTTGTTTTACATTGAAAATTAAACAAATGGCAAAAGTTAAGTTATATAGACCATTTCACAAGATGTAAACACTGGTCCAGAAGCACTTCCTGTTTCAGTTTGTAACTGTTTTCTTTATTTCACATGTAAAGAAAACATCTTAAAGATGTTTGTTTAACTTTTTGATTCAGTATTAAATGTTCTGTTGGGTGTATTTTATCCCAGCTTTTATGTAGTGTTAAAAAACTGAAACAGGAAGTGCTTCTGGACCAGTGTTGTTTACATCTTGTGAAATGGTCTATATTGTACAGATTGTTTTTTATTCAATTATGTCATTAACAATTTTTCACGCATCAGTAAAGTTTTGTACTATTCCCCACAGAATTGCATTTTTGCTCCTAATCAAATGTTGTAATGCTGTGACACTGCACTCCATTTGGACATGGACTTGTTTTACTTAACCAATAGAACTTTAAGCAACATCTTAAATCAGAACTAAAAACCACTCTGAACATCTAGCCAACCACTACTACAGCAAAGCCAGAGGATTTTGGGCAAAACATCAATATTTATTTATTTATTTTTCAGAAAAATTGCCTTGCCTATTTTATGAAACTTACAATTACTTACAACTAGCGGTGCTTTGAGATTTTTCCTGCCTCACTAATAATACAGTTATAAAGAAATGCCTGATATGTGGTGTCCTATAGCCCTTGTATTTCAGCCATTACTTCTGCACCTGTAGACATAACATCTAAAACTTAATATGATTGATTACACTAGAGAGACTCCAAACTATGATCCTGAAGACTAGAGCTGCCTCCAACTAAATATTTTCCAAGTTGGCTGTTAGTCGTTGATTGGTGTGAATCGGTGGCTCTCCCAAATTTTCAATTGTATTATTGGGCTTGTAACCTAAGAGCTCCGACTTACTGGCAAGGTTCACATTACATAAACTACTCACCAGACTGGGTCCAGACAGAATCATCAGCTTGCCTTCCTTCCTCACTCTCAGCCCTCCTATTCTCACCCTTACCATTGGGACTAGACTCTCACTCGTTGGTCCCAACGGTATCGAACTCAGTCCATATTTGGATGGCAGAGGGGTTCAATCTGTGCCCCAGTTGCTAGAAATCATATATTCACTCAACGATTTCTCTAAATGACAAGGCATTTTTGCTATGGCAAGAAAAATATATTTTTCTGATGGTTGCTTGTCTTTTGCACCATTAGAATCTCAATATAAAACACCTAAAGCCCACTTTTTCATATATCTACAGGTATGTAATTTCACACAAAAGAATTTTATTTCTTTTAATTCCCTTCAAGATCGAAACCCTTTTGACCAACTTTTTCCTGAAGAGACCCAGAGCGAAGAGGCAATATCTCTAGAGTATATAAAACTGACATCATTTTTAATTATTATCCACTTCTTACAAAGAGATTCCTGGCAACTGGACCTTAATCTCTGCTTGCATCTTGTACAGTCAAGTCAAGTCAAGTCACATTTATTTATATAGTGCTTTTCACAATACAGATTGTATCAAAGCAGCTTTACAGTGATAACATGAAAGTAGTACAACACAGATCAATAATATTGTTAAATATTAACTAACCCCAACTAAGCAAGCCAAAAGCAAGGCAAAAGCAAGGCGACAGTGGCAAGGAACCAAAACTCCATCAGATTGGATGGAGAGAAAAAAAACCTTGGGAGAACCCAGGCTCAGTCGGGGGCCAGTTCTCCTCTGGCTAATTCATATTGTTTATATATAAAACTGCGCCATAACATATCGCCGGCAGGTGGGATCAGCAGAGGAATACATCTTTGCCAGCTTCGCCTTAGATAGATGAAGTCGATGTACCACTTAGAATTGAATAAGGCTGTGTCTAGCACAGATAGAAGAGCCATGGATCCTATTGTTAGCCTCATCCCATTCCTTAACATTTTATTACATTACTATTTTGGTATTAACATTTACCCGCCAGTGGGGCGGATAACCTTTTAAGATTTACTCGCCAAATGGATAATCTACCCGCATTTGTCGCTTGGCGGGTGTTACTTTCAGACCCTGATCCTGTCCACTGACCACATAAACCAGGGAGAAATATGGACAGTGCAGTGGATCAGTCGAATAAATACCAGCCAGACTGATAAATCCTCTCCCAAGTTTTCACACCTTCCCTTTGGCAGTACAACCCATTCAAAGTCTCAGGTTGGCATGTGCCGCCTTTAGGAATGCCAGGCAGCTCCAACTCATTTCCATTTCTCACACTAATAGCGGCCACAAAGTGACCTTGCCCATTCCCTCACTCAGCAGCTCCACCTTTATCTCTCCCATCAGCCCCATTCAAGTGAAAAGTAATCCATGACTGCCACCATGTGCTCAAAAGAGCATACACATCACCACACGGTGTTAACAGACACCTTGTGCTGCATTAACAGAGCCTCAAACTAGTGGTAATGTGAGTGGCTGTGTGCTGACCTGTCGATGTCAAACAGATTCAGAAAGACTGATAATTATGGGTAACTGATTCTTCCAGTTCAACAGCCAAGACTCCAGAGGCCCGTTGAATGTAGTTGAACTTAGAGTAGGTTTAGAGTTGACAAGTACATATAAATCCAACCTGGTTTAGATCAGGCCCCAGGTCAACTCGGGTTTAATCCAAAATTTAAGGTTAACTCTGAAGCGCATGCACCTAAAAGTGGGACACGTCACGTGTAGCAAAACAGCCAATCACATGGAACATGGAGAGCGTCAGTTTGATTCACTTTTGAGAGTTGGCACAATACACTTCTCTGTTGAAGATTAAGAGATTGTTATGTAATATAGAATGAATTTAAATGCATTTACAAGATAGGAATAAACACCACTGCTGTAGTGAAAGTTTGAGAAGGCAGCAGAAAGAAAATGAATCAAACAAACTGAAACTTATAATTTATATAATCCCTTTAACTGCTTCTATTGTTCTAATTTGTAAGTTGCTTTGGATAAAAGTATCTGCTAAATAAATAAAGGTAAATAAAGTAGACATAATTACAATTCATATAATAGTAATCTTATAAATTGGTTAATTAGCAGCAAAAGATGAGCAATATTGTCTCTAAATTCATTCACTCAAAACTGCTTTCATTTGGAGTGAGAGATACAGGGAGAGTGGCTTTACTGCATCAGATATTTTTTACTCACAGGACCGAATTGGTCCAGTTTTGGTTTGCTCTAACGCTGAATAAAACCTGCTCCGGAGCATAAGTTAGCATGGTGATGAAACCCACGAAGAGCCAATCCATCTTCTTGAGCCCGAAATATAAAGTTTGCTCAAACAAATCTCAAACTTACCTGGGTAGCAATTGAAAACGGCTTCATGCAACAGGCCACAGGGATCAAATTCTGAACTCACCATAGGGGTATTTGGTGTCCAGCTTGTCATCAGCACTGCGAGACCAGGGCAGAAGGTCATCGTCACAACCATTGGGCATACCGTTGTAGCCAATACCCACTATCTTGTTCTCTTGATTCACGATACAGGCACCAACCTGAAATTATTTCAGTTTTAAGGAGTGGTGACATTAAACTTTTCATTTCACTGACTTTCATTCATACACATGTGAATAAGGGAAACAGGAAAAGCACATTTGTGCGAATATAGCTTCCTATCACTTGAAGACATGTGACCAATAAAAGATCGACAAGTCACGTCGTGAGCTGAATTAACAGAACGCAAAGTCTGCACGATTGCAGCATTGCAGTAAAATGGAGTAAATTGAATATTTTTAGGGCTGTGCATAGATTAATTGCGATTAATCGTATCCAAAATAAAAGTTTGTGTTTACATAATATATGTGTGTGCTGTGTATAATTTTTATATATATATATATATATATATATACAGTATATAAATACATATGCATGCATGTATACATATAAGAATTATTTGCACGCATGTGTATATATATATATATATATATAAAATTATTTTTTATAATAATAAAAATATTTTATATATGTACAACAAATTTTTTTTAAATATATACACATTTATATAGCATGGAAGATATGTGTATTTATATATACAAAATAACGGTTTATATATACAAAATTCGGAACCGATGCTATTTTTTTTACACAAAATTCTGTCTCTCAACTTTTTAAGCTTGAACCGACACATGCCATTAACTGTAAGAGGATTTACAGTTAAGACCCAGTTAATTAGCAATGATGAATGAAGACAAGGGGACGGTTGCATAAACTGCTCAAGATAGCCATCAAAGTTCACAACAGTATGTCAGTTACATAAAAGCAAAGACTTGATTCAATGAGCTGATTCAGTCTAATTAACTGCTAGTTGGGCATAGAAAATTACTGAAGAAAAGAGTTTGCAGTGTCATCAACAGAAGTCAGCATCATCAACACTCATCAAGGAGTTTGTAGGCCGCTCTGCTCACACAACCAAGTGTAAATGCAATTAAGAAAAATAACATTTGAATGATCATTTTGCCACAGTTTTTGCTTGAACATGTCACACATATTTAATCATTTAGTACTAAATTTTCATTTTCATTTTGCCACTTATAAAGCGTTTCAATATACATATTAAAACTATTGTATGAAATGGCAAATGTAAATTATGTAATTTAATATTTGATTTGAACCTTTCAGGATCCGCCATCAAATTGATAAGTTTATTTAGATCAAGTGCTGTGAGAAAAGACTATAAATCTCCACCTCCAACATCCTCACACGCAATATAGCTTATACTAGCCGACACTCTTCTTTATGTCTACAGATGTGACGTAACGACGCAAAGACATGCTCGAATCTCCCACGGAAATCCACCAGTACCACTGGAGTTAAAAACATTATTACAAGCTTACCGCTTTGAATCGAGCTAAGGCAAGCAGATAGTTTTGGAGCACTAGCTGGTTAAGTATTTTCTCAAATATGCCCCCCAAAAAGCTACGGACTGCACCTTTACTACATGATGTTATCCAATTGCATGATTTGTAGATGTACATTTCTGAAATAGATTACTTGGACACAGTCACCTCTGCTAATAGATAACTTTGTAGACAAACTGTAATGTAGACATGCATTTTCTGTATAGCTGCATTGAAACAATGCGTATTGTGAATAGCACTATACAAATAAAAAAAAGATTCATTATATTTAATTTATACGGTGAAGATGCAGTGTTTTAAATTTGATTGTTTAATTTCTGAACCTGAATACTGTTAGATTTACCCCAAAAAAACGTGTCCCTACACTCCCTACAAAATCACCACAATCATTCGATAATGATTCATTCTTTCCAAATAGAGCTATTTAGTATCACAGAAAATTAAATATTGCAATGATAGTTATTCCAATATCATGCAACCCTATTTAATTTCATACTGAATACAATTTAACCACATTTCAGATGTGTGGTCACCAAATCAACCCACACTTCAAATTAGTAGGACTGCAGGCAATCGATCTCTGGGTACCTGAGAACTGGGATCTTTGCTCCTCTGTGCTGATAAGAAGGCAACAGCCATGAAATACTCAGGCCACTCCAGGTAGTCCTGCCTCTTCTTTGTCAGACCTTCACTGTGTGTTCTGATGGATTGAAAGAATGAGAGAAATTAAGAAAAAATAAATAAACCCCTGTAGCCACTTTTTTATAACCATTATAATTGTGGAAAATTACTGTGTTTATCTATTTCTCAGCCAATGAGAATAAATCAACGTGTAAGCAATGACGTATTTTAGACCTTGGAAATGGTATAACTGCTGAGGTCTTTGTAACTGTAAAATGAACTGTTTAATTTTTTATAATTCTGACTCCGGGTCTTTATTCTTCATGTCTGTTTCTGGGTCTTTGACTGTTAACCCCTAACAAAAGTATTGATTTCTTTACATCTCCAGTATGGAAGATTCCTATTGCCTCAAAAAAGTATACTATATTTACTTGATCTTAACACTGGCCCCCCTGACACCCAGCAATGACTGTCTACTCTACATGTGTGATATCAGCACTGACAGACATGATCATCATCGGATGGTTTTCCTACAGGGCTTTCCATTTTAGTTAAAAGTGAAGTGATATTACACCTTTTTGTGAGATATCTCAGTGACTGTCTCAGAAAGGGCAAGGGGATTTATGTGTGAAGATTTAATGGACCCATCTGACTTGACTCACTTGTTTTCCTAATGTCTCTTGTGATTCTTTTTTTGAGCAGCTGTCAGAGCAGGTGTGTGTGTGTGTGTGTGTGTGTGTGTGTGTGTGAGAAAGAGTCGGTGGAATACTGAGGGTTGATGATCTGAAGCTAATGGGCAGTGCAGTGTGTGAGACAATCCTGAGGTAGTCATTAAACCATTTTAAAATGTGCAGTTATCTGAAAACCATTCACATGATATAAATTAAAATACAATAGGTTTTAGATTTTCCTTTTAAATCTAATCTGATTCGATTAGTGCGCCTCACTTACAGTCACAATGATTTTGCTAGATATGGTATCCGACCATACCCCTATTCATACCCCTAATCCTTACCATAACTTATCTCTAAAATGAGAGGGAAATGATGCAGTTAATTAAGCCTATAGTTGGTTTACATGTTTTTCCAAGATCAACAAAGCTGTTGATCCAGGAACATGTTGTACTTGGTGAAATCACAGACCGCTTCCAGGGCTGAAGATGTCAAACATGGCCACAAGAGGGCAGTATTCATCAGATCTATCTTCATGTGCAACTATATTTTAATAGGCTTATTTGTCAACAACCCATTAGCGTCATTGTGCTAATGAGCAAAAACATAATCTTATGTCTTCTAAAAAACTGTCAACACACCGTTGTTGTTTTCACACAACGTTCAGTTCTGGTAAACCCTTTTTTTTTTTTTTTTTTTTTTTTACAAATCTTTTACACTTCTCACACTCACACATTACTCAGGAACACAAAACTAAAATCATGTGCTCATAATGAATTTAACAGTAAAAGCATTGTATAAAACACGTTACCCGTTGAGCTGGGATGCGCCGTTCTTTGCCTTGTCGTCCATATCTTAATCAGAAAGTGTCTGCAGTGCTTTTATCGATATATTCGCACTGTTTGTCCACTCTCTCCACTCTTCAGAACAGACAGAGCAGAAGAACTTCCCGCGAAAAAAACAGACCAGCCCCTTTCCGGGTTTCGAGGGGGAGCAAAAAGTTGAACAGCGCCATCTCTACACAATTATGCACACAGCACCCGAGACTTTCTTTTTCTAGGCTATTCCAACCATTCTTGCATGTTGGTATATTAAAATAGCCTACGTCGTCCTCTTGCAGTTACCTCTCAGCAAGAGCGTTAAACGCGCGCTCGTTCATAAGATACTATTATGATTGATTATTAGGCTATTCTTCTGTAGGACTTTGTTTTTGTTCGAATAATAAAACAGAATGTATAATAACAAATGCTCTAAAAACATTGAAATTGAGTATTGTTTTAAGTAATTTAAGACACAGGCATATACCTCTTAAAATTAAATCGATGAACGCATATCATAACATGAATAGCCTATTCATCATGTTATGATGATGCGTTCATCGATTTATCTATTCATATATTCAACACTGATGATAATAATAACAGGATAAAAATGTAACCAAATAATTAAAAAGCTGAGATTTTTCATTTAATTTATTTTTTTTGTATAAGGAGATCTTTTGCTGTTAGAAATGCATGTTTGTCAAGCTCCAACACTTTTTAAATTGCAAGCAGACAAAGGAGCAAACAATAGCTGCTGTCATGGACAAATTCAAAGTAAATACATTTCCATTGTGTTTATGAAATGTAGATTTTCAGAAAAACATTTTAGTCCCTTTCACAACAATACATTTAGGCTAGTTTATTGGCAGCAAAATATTTGTTTCCCTATTATAAAACATGATGTTAGATTTGGAACAAATCTTTCTTTTCTAAATAACATCTAACAACAAATATATCTTGTTAAAATTTAAACGGAGTGATCTGTTCAGTTTTGTAATTTTTGAGATTTCATTGGCTATTTGTTTTTTTGTTTTTTTTTTCAGTGTTATTCATGCAATGACTCTATATCGATATCTTGTTTTAAAATTTAACAAGATATATTTATACTGGCCTATAATTTATTATAAACAGTACTGGCCTAATTTATTTATAAAGAAATTACACAAAGGATTTCGCTAACTTGTTAAAATAATTCGCTAATTTCCATGAAATATAAAGGCTATATATTTCCATGAATATTTATATTTATATGTATATTTCCATGAAATATTAAGGTGAAGAGATATCAGGAGCATCAGAAACAACAGGAATAACAAGAAACCCTTGGACACAAATGGAGACGCACACCATGTAGTCAAGTTTCACCCAGTCATAGAGAAATATTAATTAATATAAAAACAGAAATTCAAAAATATACATTTTTAACTATATACAGTAGGCTAATTAATGTTGGGAGGCTTGGTGACAGGATGGACATTTTTAGTTAGCATTTGATAACACATTGTGTACCATCAAAGTGATTTATTGTGGATACTGACATGTGTATTGTTAAAATGTATATTTTGAATTTCTGAAAAGTTTTTATATTAATTAATATTTCACAATATCACAGGGTGGACATTTTAAGCTTGACAACATCCAACTACAAACATAATATAATGTGTCATTTTAGAAGTGATTTAGGACTTAGTTTAGTTTACCTTGTTAAAGTGATATCGATATAGAGTCATTGCATGAATAACACTGAAAAAAAAAACAAATAGCCAATGAAATCTCAAAAATTACAAAACTGAAGAGATCACTCCGTTTTGCACACATATAGGCCTATTCATTGATAACACAATTTTTACAATTGAGTGAAGAAGAGTTAAGTTGAAAAAGTTCTGACCCTATCCTTGCGATAGTTCGCCCCAAAACCGCACAGACCTCCTCAGGGGGTGAAGGGACCAAAAAGGCCACTAAAATTTTAGTTGTTGTTGTTTTTGCTGCATGTTGTTGTTTTTATTCTTTCTTTCATTGGCATTTAAAAAAAAAATATGTCGATACAATTAGAATGCATAACACATTAAATTAAAATAGGGAGATTACGATAATATTACTAAATATTTTTTATTTTACCAAACAAAATAGTGAGAATCAAGAAGGTAATTATTTAAAATTCATTTTTAGTTTAGTTGATTTTGTAAATTTAATGTATTTATTATATGTATGAAAGTGTTAGCTAAGGTTTTCGTGTTCTGCAGTGAGGACCATGTCTGATTTTCTGTGCAACACAAAATAAAATATTTTGAGGAACGAAAGCTATCAGTGATTGGTTCCAAAAAATACAAATTAGGATCGATTCTGTGTGACTGTGGAAGTATGGATGTTGAAATAATTTAATGTTACTTTAAAAACAGACCGTATGAACAACAAAAGTGGTATTTGTCATTTGAATTTGTTGAACACATTGGAATGTTCCAGAAATATAAGATTTGAGTATTCATATTTCCACAAAATACAATGCAATATATATATATATATATATATATATATATATATATATATATATATATATATATATATATATATATATATAGGCTATATATATATATTTCTTTATTTTGAGCAATTAAGTTGTGTTCTGACAACTCTAAATTTCCACTCGGACTTGTCTGACCCCATAATCCTAAAATGCAACTTGTTTCGACTTATTTAATTTGCGAATTGCGCAATGTTAGGTGTGGTCGAGCAGGGATGGGGTGTGGGGGATTTAAATAGTTTCTTTGTATGTCTTTTGACAACTGGTCCGAAGGGCATGACGAGCATAAGAAATAGCTCGTCATTTGTTAAAAACTTGTATGATCTTAAAATTTATTTTGAAAAATGTAGATAAACAGTTTCGGATCCCAATGATTTCATTTTTTTTTTAACGTGACTCCACACACTTCCCAACAGTTGGACTTGAGTGATTCAATGGCAGTAACGTCAAGCTCCAGCAGGCGGTGTGGCATAATTTAGGAAGCGGAAGTGAAAGTGAAAGAAACAGTACTTTCAAAAGCTACGCTGACCAATCAAACGCTTCGTTGTTTCACTTCCGCGGTCTGCTTCTTTATGACGTGTTGCGTCATTCTACCAAACACGAAAGGCTTCTGGAAGATTTCACATGTCGATCCATAAAAACACTACGTCGCTCTTCTTAAGATGAAGAAAGAAAATCTAAAACAAAAAATGGTTATGTTTTCTGCGCTATTCTAGGACTGGATTTTAGGCTATAACACTTCTTATCGAGGAATCTTGGACTAACGTTAGGCGATTGCCTCTCGTCGAGGTAACGTAACGTTAACGCGAAATACATGGCTTCAAAGCAGAACTATTAATTTATTAGTCTGTTTATAAATAGATTGATTCTACAAGATTCTCTGTCTGTGCTGGGCTGCCTGAAAATAATGCATGTTTACATTAGTAAACGTCCAGATATGTCATGAATTATGAAAAAAATGTACGGTTTTAGGCTAATTGACTCTGACAGATATTTTATCGTTTATTCTTCTGTCTTTTATGAAAGGAGAGGCAATACATATTTAGATTAATCTATTCTTGGTCTTCAATAGAATGTGCGTGAAAGGTAACTTACGCCATATAAACCTGGCGCAAGTTGTGTATTACTGCAGAATCATCGTTATAAAAGCATAGATTTGATTTGATCGTTGGGAGGGTGTGGCATTCTCCCTTAAATACTGAGATTTATTTTATTTATTTGTGCAAAGTTGATTAATTAATTAATAATTATTAACATAATTCCTTATTTGCATAGAATAAACGGATATGAAGTATTTTGACTCTACCTTTTGTTTGACAGAATTTTGAATTTCAATGTGCCATGGCAAGTGTAACTTAACTTAATGTTTTATCTATTTAAAATACAGATTTTCTACTCAACAAAAAACAAAAAATATTTTCATTTCATCGGGCTCCTAATTTTTTCCCCCCCTTTTGTGAGGTAGGATGTCCAGTATATTTAAAGGTTTAGTTCACCCCAAAATGAAAATTGTCCCATCATTTTCCTCACCCTCAAGCCATCCTAGGTTTATATTACATTCTTATTTTAGCCAAACAAGCTTTATAATGGGAGTGAATGGTGCCTTTTATTTTAAGCCCAAAAAAGTGCACCCATCCATCATAATAGTAATACATATGGTTCCTTGGGATTTACAAAGGCCTTCTGAAGAGAAACAATGCATTTTTGTTTGAAAAATATCCATAAATATAACTTTATAAACCGTAATCACTAGCTTCCGGTAACATCCGTCCACGCTTCGAGTCGCGTTCCGGCTTAGGTGATAATAGACACCTCTCGGGGTTCAAACAAATAGGGCTGTTCAACCAACTCAAGTTTCTCTGACATTTCTCTTTAAAAAAAAAACATGTTTTAGATCTCTAATTCGTGATCGGTGTTGTTTTTTTGTTTTTGTTTTTTTTGCTTTATGTATTTTATTTGCTCTTTTCCACCAGAACTACACTTGGCCGTAATCGGAAGCCAGTGAATATAGTTTATAAAGTTATAAATATGGATATCTTCCTAAAACCCATTGCTTCACTTCAGAAGGCCTTTATTAACCCACTGGAGTCGAATAGGTTACTGATGGATTGATGCGCTTTTTTGGGCTTCAAAATCTCAGGTCCCATTCTCTCCCATCATAAAGCTTGGAAGAGCCAGGATATTTTTTTTAATATAACTCTGATTGTGTTTGGCTGAAAGAAGTCACCTAGGATGGATTGAGGTTCATTTTTGGGTGAACTAACTATTTACAACTTCATTCTATGTGTTTCTTTTCTATTCAGAGTCAAGATGCCAGTGGACAGAATGAGAATGCGCCCCTGGTTGGAGCAACAGATTACCAGCGGGGAAATTCAAGGTCTTCTCTGGGTCGATAAGGTGAGGCTGGAAATCCAGTAAAATTCCATTGTATTCAGTTTAAGAGGAGACTTAATTAAGTTTGAACATGTGACTCATGTGGCACTTTGTGTCTGATTTTTGTGCATTTCCAATTCGAATGGAATCTGATCATATTTATTTTGCAAGTGTGAACAGCAAAATAAATCACATGAAATCTGATTTCTTACAAATCCATTTCAAGCTACATTCATATGGTTTCAAATCTCATTTCTGGAAATCCATTTCTGCCTGACCTGTCTGGTCGGATTTTGCATAGCTTTTCTCTCCATGTATCACTTTCTCAACACATAAAATGTAAAACAAGTCAGACATCATTGCAGGAACAAGGTTGCGTTGTGTTGTTGTCAATGTTTCACACAAAAAATGTCACTTCATTCACTGTGCGGCAGAGAGACACGTCTCCTGTACAGAATAAAGCTGCTCAAGCGAGCCTCAGTTTTAGACATTGCTTTATTAGTAGTCCAGCGGTGCAGCTACACATTGTCAAAGACAGTATAGCAAACCCCTTGTTGTTTTTGTCATAGTCCTATAATGGAAATTGAAAGATAGCCATGATGGGACACACAAATCAGATCTGAACAGTTGCAATACAAAGAGTGGGAACTCGGTCATTTAGATCAGATTCCAATTGGATACACAAATAATTGGATTTGGACTGAAAGCGCGAACATCGTCTAACAGTGCACTATTAAAATGTTTCCATTAACAGGATAAAAGGATATTTCAGATACCGTGGATGCATGCAGCCAGACATGGATGGGATTTGGAAAAGGATGCACCTTTATTTAAGAACTGGGCCATTCACACAGGTAACTGTTGACAGGTCTGTTGTCCATTGTCTCTTTTATGAAGAATGATGCTGAATACTTTAAAGGTGAATTTTGTCATTTCTACTGATTTGTGACTCCATTTTGTCATATGTTATGATTCAGTTATTACAAAGCGGCAACATTCTAATCTGAAAGATGAAGCCTACCCGGAAGTGCGAAAAACTGCAATACATCTCAAATCCTCTAGAGGCCGGTCCCAAAAGGGAGCAAATATCCATAGACGTCATGTTAAAACATCCGTTTTCACAGCATAAATTCATGTGTTTACAGTTTGGTCCCATGGACTTTTATTGTAATCTTCAATATGTTCCGCGTGCCTGACAACTGTGAGGGGGGTGATTTTTTTTTTCCCCGTTAGTTTAGATAGTATTTAGATATAAAATGTATGACAAATAAGGGCGGTTAACTTAACGGGTTGCGCCGAGTGAATTTGACGTCTCGGCCATGATCTGACACAACACATCATACCAACTCTGTATCCTTTCTGAAACTTTTGTATTTTGTATTTCCCAAGATTTTCCAGTATGGCGCCGTCCATACCCCCCATAAACAGCCTCAAACCCGTTCTTCAGAGAGTCTATGGGTGCCGTCACAGATGCTTTGTCCATATATTTTTACAGTCTATAGTTATTACCCAATTATGTCTCATACAGGAAAGTATCGTCCAGATATTGACAAACCAGATCCTAAGACGTGGAAGGCAAATTTCCGTTGTGCTATGAATTCTCTACCAGATATTGAGGAAGTGAAAGATCTAAGCATGAAGAAAGGAAGCAATGCTTTCAGAATGTACAGGATGCTTTCCTCATCCGAAAAAGCAGCTAAGAAAGGTAAGTTTGGTCATTAACATAAATAAGGGAAATTTCACTATGTATTTTATGCTCATGAACTTATTATTAGTGTAGAATTACATAATTTCGTTTTGGTAAACATATTCTACTGATGATGTTTAAGATCCTCTAAATGCATATTGTCATCTTTTTCAGGGAAGAAAAAGATGGACCTGGAGCAAAGAGCAAAGGTAGGAAGTAATAGCTGTACACTTAAACAATAGGGCACACTTCTGACTGAGTATTGCAAATGATCTCACACCTATCCTAAATTCTTTAGGGTTTTCAGAAACGGAAAGCTGGCACTCCCAGAAAAATTAAAAATCTAAAAGGACAGTTTGAAGCAGAGTTAGAAAGAAAGATAGAAACTTCACCGGACAGCACTGTGCTATTTGCTGGTAAATAACCACTTCATTTGTTCTACCCTCAGATATCATACTCGGATACACTGGAGAATGCACTTATTTATCTACAGTGTTACCAAAACATATTTGAAATTGTAAGCCATTCTGACTCTAACACATTTTTAATAAGCTATTTTTGTTTTTTAAATCAACTGGTCTCAATGTGATTTCTGACCACCAAAAAGTACTATTTGCCTTCAACAGTAGATCCATTGTTTTATACTTGCTTATTCATCACCAGAGCAGGAGAGCTCCTCTGAACTACATGATGTGTGTGCAGTTGTTGAGGTGGGAACAGAGAATGAAGAACCTGGGGTTTGCCCTGTTGAAGTGTCTCTGCCTCTCCAGGACTCCCATGTTTCTGGTTCCTCCCATGGTAAGTTATCTTTATCGTCTACTGGGTTGTATTCACCACAGGAGTCATAAATTACTTCTAAAGCTACATATTATTGTTGGCCACAAACACAACTGCACATCATCATTGATTTTTTTTTTTCTATTCTATACAGAGAGTGACACAGAGAGCACATACAGCGACGAAGACTTGGTACAGGCATGTATATTTTTAAATATGTATTTTTATATTTTTATTAAGAATTATTCAATACATTATTCTTTATCTTTAGAAATTATGTTTTGCTTTAAGCAAATACACAACCATTCAAAAGTTTGAGGTCATAACTGCTATGTTTTTTTATTCTGCAAGGATGCATTAACTTGATCAAAAGTGACCGTTAAGAAATTTAATGTTGCAAAACAGTTCTATTAAAAAGTGTATTTATTATTTTTCTATAAAATATTAGGTAGCACAAGAGATTTCATTATTGATAAGAAATGGGTAACACTTTCATTTGTTAACATTAATGTATTAACTAACGTGAACTAACCATGAGCAACACACTTTTTTAACCAACAGCAACACACTTTTTTAATGTTGGTTAATACACAAACAGTTGTTCATTGTTTGTTCAAGTTAGTTCACAGTGCATTTACTAACGTTAACAAGTACAACTTTTGATTTTAATAATAAAATTCCATGTTTTTAAGGGATAGTTCGGCAAAAATGAAAATTTCATTAAGTAACTCCCCCTTATGTCATTCCAAACTCTTAAGACTTTCGTTCATCTTCGAAACACAAATGAAGATCTTTTTGATAAAATATATACTGTCCCTATAATATGTTCCTCCATTGAGAGCTATACAACCAACATTTTGATGCTTCAAAAAGTTCATAAAGAAATATAGCTCATCAAAACAATGACTCTTAGTTTTTGTTATTAAAGTTATATTCATTTTTAATCATATTTCACAAAATGGTGCTTTGGTGCGCATGAGACTAATATATTTGTTTTAATCATACCCCAACTTTTGAACTGAAGTGTAAATAGACATACAACAATAGAAACATTCATGTTGTCATTAAAGCAACATTAAGTTGTTGTTGTTGTTTTTTGTTTTTTTTTGCTAAGAGTGTTAACTTTCCTTTGCATCTTCCTCAGGATCTGTCCATAAAAGCTAGAACATCATGTAGTTCTGTATTAAGGATCCCACCATCCAATTCCTCACCAAACACATTTTTCACATCGGAGAAAACAAATTTCAGAGTAACCAGCTGCAGAGAGGACTCGCCCCTAATTGCTTATAACACTCCTCCATGGTTTCCCTGCCCGTTTAATTTCCAAACTGTCACAGACGTGCGACCCTCAAGCCCTGCCCAAAAAGCAGATCTCACCAGCAGCCCGACTTCTCAGGCCAGTGTGATGGCTAATGCTGTGGACCTCTCTGTTGCAAAAAACAAAACACTACAATGAAGACACGTGAAATGCGCAACCTGCTGCTGTTCAGCTGATGAACTTGCAACCCATAATCCAATAATAATCAACAGGTCTCAGACTTGTCTTGATGTTCAGCTTTTAAAACCAAACCGTTTTAAATCCGTTATACTAGATCATTATATTTCTGAAATATTTTGAAACACACTACCTCATTCTCATATTTGTATTAAATATGTAACTTGTAGAACTACCTCACAGATGCACAGATTCTAGATCATAGAAGTCGGCGGTGTAAACTAGTAATAATACAGCATTGGGAGCAGAACTAAGTGTAGAACGCTGAGTATTAATTTAACTTTTCAGTAACATTTCATACTTGTGACAGCAGAACAATCAAAAATGAAATTGAAAAGTTTCTGGAGATTTGCATTAATGTTTTTCTACAGGCTATAGCACAATATTGAGATCAGAGTTTTTGAATGATTTTTGTTTGTTTTTTTATGAATTTGCCATTGTCAATTATATTACATAAATATTGAACTGCCTAGAGACCTTTTTTAGTTCTCTCATGTCAGTGGGACTTCAAATACTTGAATAGAGACGCTCAACTAATTAAGAGTTGTATATTAACTTGACAAACCGTTTTCCTTTGTGCTCTGAACATGTTTCAGTGTAATTGAGATTTGCTAAAGTTTCTTCAATAAGCTATTTTTATACAACAGTCAATAATGTGGATAAGAAATACAGATTTAAAAGGAAATATAAAAACAGGTTTTATTGTAGTGTCTAAATTATTAAAAACATTTCACAATACAAAATCATCTCACTCATTTGGTGTATGATGTACACTAAAGTAGTGGTTCAAAGTGTTAGTAGTGGCACTAGTTAAAAAGATGAATGTGCAAGAGAAAAGCAATCTTTGTGGTTGCTGTATCTTACTTGATTTTACAATAGACGAAGGATAAATGGAAATGCTTTACAACTCAGACTGTGTGTGTGTGTGTGTGTGTGAACTGTGTAGTATGCAGTGGCCTAAATAATATTCTTGGTTTTCTCATGTCTCTCATGTTATTCATTTTGTCTCATTTCATTTTGTACTGTACAAGACTAGTGGTGTACAATTTCATGTTATTAATGGTGCTCTTTTTATAACAAAATTTTGTACATCTATAAGAATTACAAGTATGTTTCACTTAACTAAGGACAACACAGCTCATATAAAACGTCTCAATTGAATGCAGTTTCTTAAATTCAAGATTGTACATTGTTGCACTTGACACATTAAATCACAGTTGTTGATTTTTTTTCTGTAGAGGTTATACTTAAGACCTGTGTGCAGACTGGCTTTTTGTCTTTTACAAAAATTAAGGAAAATTAAGAAAACCACTAATAACTGAGGTTGTAAAAATAGGTCATCCCCTTACTTCATTTCTTTGGGGGGGCAATCCAGACTACAAGCCTGGATGATGTGAAGAGAAACGGTTTACTTCTCAAAGTATGGCAAATAAAAGAACTTGAATCCTCTTCGTCCCCGAACCGCACAGCTTATATAGATCACATGATACACTGAAACAAAAAAGGGAAGAGCAAGAGTTGTTTTCCTCTAGAATCTTTCAAGCAATGCTGTCTATGTTAAAGGAGAACTCCGGCGCAAAATGAACCTTTGGTCTAATTACACATTGGTGCTTAGTCGACCGTTCTCTGAGATTTGTTTTCATGATAATTTAATGTAAAGAGTTTTATCTCTAAAAACTGTTTAGCGTATACACTAGTATATGGGGGCATTTAATAAGTAAAGGGAAATCGCTAGTTAATACCACTAACAAGGCTCAAAATAGCCCCACACTAACACCGTAACATAATGAGGGTCTCTACATGCAAAACGAAGCATTGAGGACTTTGTTAGAGTACAGACCGTTTAATAAGAAGATATATTTTATAAAGATGTATACTTTATGTATTACTTGACTGCTTTATAAAGATAACTTCACAATTCATAAAACTGCAATAAATTATCTAAGGTCCAAAATCCATTACCCAATATTCACAAAGGCAAAACTGACTATATAATATAAAAGCTTGCATTGAGAACATATTTAGATCTTACCACCAGGAATGAAGAGAAGAAATCCAGGAACAAAGAAAATTGCACTTGAAACACCTGAAAAGGCATTAATACATGGGGGTTACATCATTTACTGACCAAAATTGGCATGAAACCACCTGATTTATTAACTGATATGCTCCGGTTATAATTAGCTGAACAGATTTGTGTGCTAAAGCAACCCTGCTCATGTCTCATCTGTGTTTACAACCAATACCAACGTGACAGATCTTACCTGCGTGAGGGTTTAACTGTATGACAATGCCTGTAAAGATCAAAGCTGATAGGTAGGAGACAGACGGAATGGGATCATAGGGAGAGAGAAAGATAATACATTTACTAAGCAGCTGACAATCACATCTCAATTCACCACCTGTGCTTAAGATCAGAGTTGACAGCAAGATAAACACTAACAGCACTTTACAAGTCAAACAGAAACTGTGGATCTCAAACACCTTCCTTTTGAGATGTGTAGTACTTATGATCAAAGAACATCACAAAAGGTATGAAAGTCTCACCAACTCCAGTGATTAAGAGGAGGAACGAGGCAAGAACGACTCGTCTGTTCTTCTTCACTAACGGGTGAGACGTCCACCTGGGAACAGTACACACAGACCAAATGTTGAGCAAAGGAAAAGAATATCACAAACTATTTTTTTAGTTAATGTTAGCGTATATAAATATAAGTTTTGCAGTATTGTGTGCGTCTTACCCGCAGCAGTGAGCAGACAGTTGTGTGACTGAGCTGAGTGTGCTGAATGACCACTGAGAGCTGCAGTAGGACAGAGTAGCAGGATCACTGGAACACAGACAGACACTGGGCTTGGACATCAAAAAAATCAAAGCAAACATATTTTATTTTGTCATTTTTGATGGCTTGCTATTTTTTTTTATTTTTTTTTGCCAGTTGGTCACTTTGTCCCTGATGAACATTTGTGGGAAATTAAACATTTACTTTTAGATTTAGCATTACCCTAGGGCTGAAAACAAGAAGTTAACATCACAGTGCATGTATAGTTGTCTTTTAAAATCTGCCATTTCTAACGCAAATTATGGAGAGTGACCATAAACGTATATTTACCAATTATTAACTGGAAAACTTGCCTTTTGAATTTATAAAATTGAGAAAAAATTCTCAAGTAAAATAGGTGATCACGTTTTCAGTGGTAATAGTAACATGCAAGTTGATTGTCATATCAGCTTCACATGCTATTTCAAGGCACATGCAGATTCCATAAATACAATGCAATACAAATATAATAACGTTCAATTTAGAAAGGAAAAAAGATGTTTTTTAAATACATAATAAAAAAGATTAAAAGTTTTGTCCTGATAAAAAAAAAAACTCTTGTTGTGTCATGTCATGACTTTTAGGAAATATTAGGCACACCAACAATGTATCCGCCATTTCAAAACGGAAACTGTGATGTAATAAGATAAATAAACTTTTTTTGGACTATTCGTATTGCTCCATTAATGAATACAGTACATATTTGTCATTGTTTGTGAGATGTACACCCTGCTTCAACATTTTCTTACTCTGCTTGTTTAGTCTGTACAAAATCTTTTGACACTTTATATTAATATTACTTATACCATGGTCTGGGTGAATACTCGATTCTGATTGGCTGCAGGGTGTCCATTCTGGTGAAACTGCCTGTTTACCATTCGAAATGAATAAATAAATGCGCTGCCTACAACAGCTGTGAGTAACCATAGCAACAGGCAGTCAAACGTCAAAGTATCCGTTAACAATTTGCTCTATCAAAACAAACATCTAACGTTAGTTAGATATTACACAGCCTACTAATACAACAATGAGCGACTTCGTTATTTCTTTTAACATTTATGGAGAATATGACAACTTTGACGACTGGGATGCTGCTGAAGAAAGAAAAAATGTTAATAAAACGGAGTAACGTTGCAAAGAAAATTACGAAGTTTTACGCAGCAGTCCAGACAACCAAGGCAGGAGGAGAGTACAGCATTTCAAGCCTAAGAAGCCTATTTGATTAATTGTTTTATGTGTAATTAAAAAAAATAAAAATAACCATGCCTACCTTTGTGTTTCATGAAAAAAAAAAATGCATTTTTGAACCTGAAGGGTTCTACAAGCTGAGCGGACCATAAATATCTCTGGTTGCTAAATAAACCAGACGAGTTATTATTTGTAAAAACTTGATTTAGACTTAAAATATAAACTAGCAGCTAATGTTTTAAAAAAAAATTATTTGGCAAGTGACCGTGGTATAAGCGGGTTAATGCCCTTCGAGGTGTCCATTGTCAGGTTTTAATGGACTTTGGCGGAGGCAACCGTCCTCTGCTGCGCGTCGGCCGGTTCACGCCTCGCCGTCGTCCATTAAAACCTGACAATGGACACCTCGTCGGGCATTAACCCTTACTAATTGGTAAATATAATAGCTGGCAACTGGTGTTGATTTTAATCACAGGTAAAGGTTTCAATTAATGACTTGTTAGTGGTGCAACTCCAATAAAACCTAAATCAACAAATACTGGAGTAACTTTAAACTCAGCCTTACTGGTGCAACACATCCTTCATTTTACACCATTCTGCTCAAATAATTACATTAATATTCTTGCTTAATGAGAATGTTCAAATTAAAAATGGCAACACTGTGATGTGAACCGCCAAACCTGATTTTGAAGAAGTTGTTGAAAGAAGAGTTCACAGTGCCACCTAAAGCATCTTCATTTTCCAGATTCTGTGGGAGAACAGACAATAAAGTCAGTCAGATTTGCCCGTAAAAGTCTCTCAAAGAGAAAGTGACAGACATGTAAACACCTGACCTGATATTTCAGATTACTGTGTTCAGGAGTGCCAGCGGATCCAGAAGGATGAGATTGTGTTTTGGCAAAAGAAAGAGGTCCAAATGTCATCTCTCCGCCACCGTCCTTCTCTCTCCCCTTCCATTCCACATCCTCTCCAGGAACCACACCTTCCTCCTCCCCCTCCAGGACGAACGCGTCATCAATTGTAAACGGTGTCCCCATAGCTACAGGCCCTCAGACACTGACTGGATGTTAACCATCAAGCACTGTGAAGATGATAAAAAACATAGCCGAAAACTGGCCATCTACATTCAGCCCTTTACATTTCTCATTTCTCTTTCCCTTTAAAATACAAAATAATGATTAGTACATCTTTCTCCCTCACTTCCGACGAGATGGCGAGCTAGGCGCACGTTTTGCTGAGCTCTGGCAGAACTATTTCAATTTATACTTTTTATTGCCACCTTCTCATAAACTTAAGCCAATTAAACACATTACTATTGCATTCATTTGTGTTGATACGCTCTAAATTGAAAGAGTAAACTTTGACAGGAACATGGCCCATTCAGCACACAAAGCACAAAATGTACCCATGGAAATGGATCGTAATTATGGACGAGAGACCCCAAAGGAAAGATGACGGAATGCTTCTCACATTACTACAGCCAAAACTCTGCAGGCGATCAAGTTAGAACACAGGAAGACATCGCAGACAGAATTAGACAAAACAGCATCATGATTGTGAACATCTCAAATCAGTAGAGTTTAAACAAGGAATACAAGCAAAAATATGTCACCTTAGAAAAGAAAACCGCAGTCCTCGAGAAGTCTAATGAGGATTTAAGGTTGAAAACGTGCTTGAGCGTTATAATCGGACATGGAATCTTCGTATTAAAGGGATGAAAGAGCATGTTGACAAGGATGCATGGAAAGAGGTGACTGAACTTTTGTGAACCATATAGCCCCACATCTGGCACAGAAGCTGGAAGATGTCGCTGACCGTCAAATGATTGTTCAGTTCAACATGCATAAATATAGAGACGAATTCTGGAAGATTACAAAGAACTCACAGCTATGCACTGAACGTGGAATCAGGTTCACGGAGGATCTGTCGGCCTCTTCAATATTAGACCCTAATTCCCTCTTTGAAAAAAATGGAGAATTTGTCCCTCATATACAGTAGATGATCAGTTCAAAATGATTGAATTGAAAAGCTTGATTCTGCTGTTATATGTCTGTAATTGGATAAATAACCTGGAAGTTATTACATTTCATTTTTATTTTTATCTCCATTTTTGAAATTTATTAAGGACATTTTTTTTTGCAGTTTTTCAGGAAATTACTAAAGGCCTAATCACAGCACACATATTCCCCAAACCAGGAAAAGACTCTTGATTGTTGGACAATTTGCAACCAATAACTTTGCTAAACATTGACTATAAATTACTAACCGACATATATAACAATCACTTAAAACTTGGTTTATCCAAAATGATTGGGGAGACACAAACTGGATTCATTATAGGCCGGTCATAATTATGTACATAACAACATTCGATTGGTTTGGGACTTGCTGGAATATAATCAAGAAATTGAAGATGATGGGGTTATTTTACTTTTAGATTTTTATAGAGCATTTGATATGTTAGATAAAACATTCATTTATTTTTAAATGTTTGAAAATGTATGGGCTTGGTGAAAATTTTTTGTAATATTATTCAGTTATTTATTTACACAAATACCAATAGTTCAGTGGCCCAACCAACCGGTACTACAGTACTTCGACCAGATTTGATATCAAGAGAGGAGTTAAACAAGGTTGCCCCGTCTCACCCGTAATTCTGGCTTCAGAGATATTGGCTCTCTTAATTAAAAACTCAATTATTGAAAATTAAATGTGTATGGACTGGAAATTATACTTTGTCAATTGCTAAGTATAATTTCCTGGCTGACGATGCAACGTTATTTTCTAAGGTCTTGACCAGGTTTCTGAAGTAATCGAGATACTTAGCTATTTTTGTAAATTCGCAGGTCTTAATATTGCCAAATGTGAAATTACTACCATATGTGAATATATAATATTCCCATCAAAACATTTTATAACAAATGAAAATAGTTTCTGGTTTTGCATTCCCAGAGGTATATTTAGAAAATCATGTGGAATCAAATGATCTCACTTTCACCAGCAGATTTTGTTATATTGGGAGTTAATATATATAACCACAGCTTTTCTCCATATAAAATCCCAATATAGAACAATAGATTCATGGTTTCTAAATATAAATCTCTATGTGTTTTCTTGGGTGGCTTGAAAAAGGTATTTGGTCAGTTCTTCATTTGATAGATGAAGATGGGAAATTGTTAACTCTTATTGGTTGGAATCAAAGATTCACTCACTGCCCACTTTTGCTAGGAAACATTATGTTTGGAATGCTGGTGGACGAGAAAAGAAATGAAGTTCTTATTAATGTCATGTGTATGATGTCAAATGTATGAAGCACGATTTTTTTCTGTATTTAAAAGAGACTTGATTTGTAATTTCTTTCCAGTGTTGAAATGTATGAAAAGTAAAAAGGCCCAGAAATTGGCTGGAATAATAAGAGACATTGAGCTCTTAAAAGAAGAATAAAGAAACCCCTTTGTATTTGTATTTTTATTTTATATTAATATATTTATTTTATTTTAACTGAGATGTACCTTGCTCAATACTCATTTACCTGTGTTTACAAACGAAGAGCAAAGGACAATACCTTTCTTTGGATTAATGTTGGTAACTGTGGCTAATGTACAGACCATTTCAAAATTGTAAACACAATTGCTTAACTTATGGCAGCAATGAAGGGTTTTTCCTCTATTACGAGAAAGTATAAAACGACTATTTGGATATGTTATAAAGATAACGCTTTTATTATGCATTTCTCTATTTTTTCATCCTGGATTTATTTCAGCGCAAGACATTGCCATATTTGATTGAATCTGATCGCATTTACAGATTTACAGGTTTACTAGATGTGGAATAAATGTCCGTGTGTGATATAGCTCATATTTGCCCTCAGAAAGCATGTGACTGACTGACACTCTTCCGCTTTTTCTAAACAACACCATGTTTTTTATCCACCCAAAACAATCTTGCGTATTACAGAAGAGAAAAGTTCGTTAACGTTACATGTATCACGCTTGTAATTACGTGTCACAATAATAAATGTAAGTTTTAAAATGATTTCGTTGAAATATAATTTGCATTATTTCCCATGCTAATCTACTGAGAAGGTTTGCTTGAATATTTACACAGCCGAACATCCCGTTATCAACACCACAATAGCGTTAACGTTAAATTACAAAGGAAGAATCCTCTAAGTTACTCACGGTCACATTACTGTTGATCCTCGTCAGTTACACATATATCCTTCAGCCATCGTCCTTAGATCACATCCAATAAATGCAAGGCTACTAAACCTGTTTAAATGGATTGTTTATTGGCCGGCGGAAAACTTTAACCTAAACTTTGCAAGTAACAGCCTGGTAACAGCTGCTTCTTTTTTTTTTTTTTTTTCGTGGGTCCACTCTAAAAAGACAAATGTAGCGGTGGTCTCTTTAGCGACACCTAAAGGACTGGAAGATTCAATAATTATAGTGGTCCATTTCTATAACTTAAATTGTTATTATAATTATAAATCACAATTATCTTAGTAGTAATCATTATAACGAGGGATTGGATCCAGAGGGGCGTAAGGGGCTTTTAACAAACTTTACAGGAGAGACAAAACAAAATTTTGACCTCACTCATTGCAACAACAGGCATAGGGCCTACTAACATGAATGAGTTTTTAAGTAAAAAAATGTAAGACATATTACCACAATGAACATGTTCTAAAACGTTTTCAAATAAAAAAAAAAAAAAAAGTAAAATATATCAGATACGGCTTTTTGTTGCTTTATTCAATACAGTTTGATCTCAGATAGGTATTTTGGCACCATTGGCTCATCGAGACCTTTATTTTGATATAAAAAAAACTCATATTTGCCCAAAATGCCACTTACTCTGGCTCCAAGCCCTCGATAATAGGCTATAATTTAACATTTAATTATGTATAATATATTTTAAATAATGAAATATTGTAATATTGTAATATTTGAATTTGAAGAAAGATAAACTGAATCTTGATGGATGCATGTTGAAATGCATGTTATATATATATATATTACAATCCTAATGTATTTCTGAATATCTTGAACTGATTAGTAAACTCCCTAAATCATTCATAAATACATTCGCTCGTCCCTTGAATTTAATGTGACAATTTATGTAATAACAGAATTGTGTACACAGAAAATTGCTCTGCTATTGTTTAAGGCTCAAGTATAAGGTCCCGTGTCATTTTCTTCTGGTCTATTAATATTTCTCCTTCTTTACAGTCTGTAATTGTAAGCCTGTAAACACATACTAATAAGTTTATCACCTTTGTTTCTGTTATGGTTCTCAGTTGCCCAGTCCCATCCTACAACTGATGGCTGTCCCTCATTGTTTGCTCACTCTAATGGTTTAGATAATCAAAGGTTGATGAAGTTATATTTTTCAGAAACTTGTTCACAGATATCTGTGAAGAGTAAGCTATCTATCCATTATCCATCCATCCATTCATCTATCTTCTTCCACTTATCCGGAGCCGGGAGCGGGGGCAGCAGTCTAAGCAGAGATGCCCAGACTTCTCTCTATGCTAGTAAATAACCCACTTCGTATAAACGCATCATATACCCTAAAGAAAAGTTCATATTCATATTCGAATTTCATATTCAAAATTTTACACAATAATTAAACAATAATTTCATAACATTATTCCTGCTTCTGTAATTGCAGTGTAAATGCATCTAAACAAAAGGCCTAATAGCATAATAATAATAATATAATAATTAGTCATTTCTGTCAGCATTGCACAATATTAATTTTGCTCATTTAATTCCAGTAATAATTATAGGCTAAATGTAAATAAATAAATAAATATGAAAGTAGCCTAATAACTAACTTTTGATGTAGTTACATGACTACCTGCCCCCCAAACTGCTGTGCATGGCTCTGAAAATGTTGCAATGTTACAATGTTTAAAATTTCACAGAAGCCAGACAGACGCACGTGCACTCACCTGACCTACCAGTGACCCTGTGAGGACAAACTGTGCAGGGTTAGGGTTAGGTGGTTAGGGGTTAGGGTTAGGGTCATCTCATCTGTCTGGTGTTCAGTGCAGACGATTCTCCTAAAATACAGCGGTCATAGGCAACACACACCAGACTACTGACACTGGACATGATGCAGCCCTCCCCTCAGACCGAGCGCGAGAAGAACATCCCCGCAGCTGACGGCTGTTTCCTCATGTGGTGGGACTCTGTCGCAGCTGCTGGAGGAGCATCGCGACGAAGGGCAAGCCATAACTGCGCGTTTGACCCCCGCGGAGCCATTCGCGAGCACCGGCTCTTATTGCAGTAGGTAATAACTACTACCCAGCTTACTAAAGCTTTACACATTTAAAAAAAATATTAGGCTACTTTATTTTTATACCAGATTTACAGATTTGGACATATAGGTTTATGGAGGTTTTGTCAGGTTTTGGTCACTTCTGGGAACAAATTTGTCACCAAAATATAGCTAGTTAAGTAGATACACACACACAATAACTAAAATAATGCTTTAGGCACTTTTTTAATCATTAACATAATATTTTTCATTAATAAAAATAACTCGATAAATGAGTTCCAAATTACAATTATTTTTGAGCCCCACACTTTTCAGTGTTATCCATATATTTAGCCATCCATTGCTTTGTCAATTTTCCACCATCATGTGACCTCAAACGTCTGAGACTGACCATTTTAAAATAAAATGTGTGTCGATCAGATTCTGCTCGTTGATATTTGTCATATAGGCCTATGATTCAAATCAGCATATTTTAATATAGCTTTTAAATTAAACTGAATCATTTGCTCCAGTCTATGTGCATTGTACCGTTATCCACTAGTCTCTATTCTATAGGCCTAATTTGTTTTACACTGTGTAGCCACTAGATGGTGGCAAGATACAACCAACACTTGAATTTTCTGTTTTCCAGTAAAAACAGATTATTTATTGATTAAATTTTACAGGTATCCATGGGGTTTATCTGTGAAGACCTGATGTTTTAGCAATTTTTCCATTAATTATATTAAATTATAATTCAATTATTCGTTATGTTTAACCTGTAAAACAACAGGGAAATGGAATGTACAACCCCAAATCAAAAAGTTGGAACATTTTGTAAAATGCAATAAAATCAAGAATATTTTTTTTCATTCTTTTTAACTGTTTTTTTTTTTTTAACTGACAAAAAATGTTTTCACTGACCAACATAATTCTATTTTGTAAATATGAAAAGATTTTGATTTTGATGGCTGCAACACACCACAAAAAAAGTTGGGACAGAGACTAAATAGAGACTTCAAATAAAAAGTGAAAATATTATCCAAATTACATTATCCAGCTATTTTGAAACAGTCCACAATGAGCAGGTGAATTGGTAATTGTTGAGGGTATCATGTTTGGGTGTAAAGTCTTTTTAAGCAAAGATGGGTCATGACTCACCACTTTCTGCCAAATATCTTAAAAGAATTGTCAAACAATTTAAAAAATCACATTTCTCAATGCAAGATTGCAAAGCATGTATGCCTTTCATCGTCTTACATAATATTGTCACAAGATGCAGGGAATCCAGAGAAATCTCTGTGTTGGCTAGGCAGTAGACCTCTGTTGAATGTGCGTGACCTTTGAGCCCTCAGATGGCATTGCACAAGATACCATCATGCTACTCTGTCAAATACAGCCACATGTGCTCAGGAATAATTTGGAAAACCATTTTCACAGAACACAGTCTGACGCTGCATCAAGAAAGGCCACTTGAATCTCTGTTACGCAAGGATAAAGCTTTACACCAGTTCTATGCGTAGATCCTCTGGGCCTGAGCTCATCTCAGATGGTCTAGAACAAAGAGGAAATGTCTGCTGTTGTCAGATGAGTCCATGTTTCAGCTTGTTTTTGGGAGATAATGGAATCGAGTTCTCAGTCCCAAAGACGAAAGGGACCAACCAGAGTTTCACCAGCGACAGGTGCAAAAGCAAACATCTGTCATGGTATTGAGGTGCATCATTGCAAACGGTATGTGTAACTTGCATTATTGTGAAGGTACCATTGACATGGAGGCATATATTTGGATTGTACAGAGACATAAACTGCCATCAAGATGACATCTTTCCTGGGAAGCAAGACAATACCAGGCCTCATTCTGCACGTGCAACAACTGAGTGGTTTAGACACCCTGCACCATAGAAGGGATGTGTCTGTCTGTTCACTTGCAGTCCAGATTTGTGTTGTGTCTTATGGAAAATGTATGACCCATCATGAAAAGGATAATCAGGCAATGGTGACCACAGACTGTTTTATCAGAGATTCAGAGATCAAGATTGGGCAAATATTCCACTAGCAAACTCCAACAATTAGTATCTTCAATCCACATGATTAATTAACAAGAAAGGTGATGTGACACAGTGGTAAACATGTCTCTGTCCCAACTTTTTTGGGATTGTGTTGCAGCCATCAAAATCAAAATTTGTTCGTATTTACAAAATACAAATGTTGGTCAGTGAAAACATTGGAAAACTTTTCTTTGTACTTTTTGTCAGTTAAAAACAGATTCTTGATTTTATTGCATTTTACAAAATGTCCCAACTTTTTCTGATTTGGGGTTGTATCAAAAACAAGTGATTACATGCAATAAATATAATGCTTACACTCGTACAGCGCAGTCTCATCCCAAGACGTCATATAACTGATGTCTTGGGACGTCTTTTGACCATACGTCAACATCCGCCTTGGTACCCTTAAACGTCGGTTACATGACGATCCCGGGCCGTCATACAACTGACGCTTTACCTTTAACGTCGGTTAGGTGACGGGGTAGGTGACGGGGTAGGTTTAGGTCTGGGTTTGGACTAGGATCCGATAACGTCATCTAACCGTCGTTTAAGGGTACCTTAAAAAGGCGGATGTTGACGTATGGTCGAAAGCAGCGCAATCTCATCCCAAGACGTCATATAACTGATGTCTTGACGTCTTTTGACCATATGTCAACATCCGCCTTTTTAGGGTACCCAAAAGGTTTATATCGACCTTATTAAGTTTTAATCAAATTATTTTTTTTATGAAAAAAGTTGTTAAACATACAATCTTTCCTTGTATAAAACAAAAAGGGTTCATTGTTGTGTCAAGAACCCATGGTTCTACAAAGAGAATATTTAAAATTCTCCAAAATGTCTGTCATGCCCTTCTCACACAATGTTTTTGACACTTTACTTTCGATTTCATGTGGCATGCCAAAAGATTTCGTCGAAGTTTCATGTGCCGCTAAGTTAATATTAACCAAACACAGACATTCCACAGGTTTTAAGACACAAGAAAATGTCAAACATATAACCAAACATGTTATTTTATTGTCTGAAAAAGTAACACAATCTCCCAACTGGGTTTATCACATATACTACCACAACGATGAAACACCATTACTACACAAATAGGGACTTCTTTTCAAATATTATAGACATTACAAAAAGATCCCTCATATCTTTCAGTTTTCTTTTGAAGTTATACTAAGCATGGCAGGTTGATTTCATTTACAGTATGATACTGTACACTGTCACCATTTAGAAACAATGTTGTCTGACGTGGTTCTAAAATCCATAATGTTAAGGGAAGACATTTCATGGTCATTTTTATTTCATATGAAATATTTTACAATATAAACAAAGCATCCGTCTTGGATGGACTTAACAGCAACCAGAGGCCAGGCATTTCAGTGCAAACATGTTTTTTGTTTTTTTTTTACAAGGCAGTCTTGGCTGCATTACTTCCTTTTGTCTATCAACAAAAAAAGGGGGAAAAAAGATTACCAGATGAAGAAGTTTGAAATTAAAACTATAAATCTCACAAAATGTGACACATACCCAAAATGCATCCTCTGACAAAGCCTTGCCAAGTAAAGGAGGTCATGTGTTTGTATTAGTGTCCATCAGAAACCATTCAAATTCAATTTAAGTTCTACAGATGTGTATTTGTCACTATACTTCTGGACTTAAATCGTTGTTTTAAGAAACGTTCTGATGAAACGTTTTGAGAAAGAATCTATTTATAGAACTGTCATTTTGAGAAGCTTGTTCTGTCGAATGTGGCTCTCTGATGTACATCTGTGATGATTTAAAATAACCATTCATATATGAGGCTTTTGTCTTTCCACAATCTTCATCCCACCTCCAACTACAGGGTCTAAGAGGCTGTTTGGACCCTAACCACTGACCTCTCAAACACTAGGTGGGAAACTGAAAACAACACTATTGTATTCAGTACTGCCAAAAAGCAGAAGGCAGATTAACCATTTTTGATTTGGGCAAAACGTTTAGGACTGGAGGATGCCTGACATGATTCATTTGAATATATTCTATCTGTCTAGGTGCTTGTTTATAATATAGAATTGTAGTCCCTTGATTTCCGCCGAGATGCATTTCCGACAAACTGAAGTTACTCACTGGGCTTGAAATCATGAAGCAGATAAACAAATATTCATGTAAAGGGGGCAGCGGGTAACTGAAAATGGCTTCTTACACAAATCGGAGGGGAAACATAAAATTGGGGGTTGTTTTGTAGATGTGGTGCTAGACAGATTTATACACAACTTGCAAATAAGTAAAAGACACTTCTGTCAAAAACTGAGAAAAATTGAGTTGAAACTACAGCACTTAATACTGATTACTTTAGAATAAGTCCTCTTAGTTACAATGTCCGCCGCTCCTTGTCAACATTCACAGAGAAGAGGCTGATAGCGCTGTGTTCCACAGGCAAAGAATCCAAATCTGTACACGTCCCTACCTTGTTGTTACACAGGTGGTGGAGGTAGCTAGTTATGTGCATGTATGTGGGGTTTAGGGTAGTTTGCATGGCTGATTGCAGGTGTGTCTGTGTGTGTGTGGGTCATAGTCGAGCGATAGGGAGCGAGCTGAAAGTGGTTCAAAAGAAGTCCCACAGGAGGATATCCACCTGAACACTTATCATAAAGCAATGAAACTGTGGAGGGTATGGGAAAGGACGCAAATAAAAGATAAAAAAGGGAGGATCACCACATAATAGCACCAATGGATGTGACATGAGCTCTGCTCTTTTCCCCAAATCTCACCGAGTCACTACCAGAAGGGACACGAGCGTTAGTTCTGGTGCGTTGAGATGGCACGCCAAACAGTAAAAGCCATAGTCCAAAAAGTATTTTAGTGTTTAGAGGCTTTCGCTCATGGATCGGAACCTTACTGTATATAACACAGGCAGGTCCAAATCTAACGTAATCTATGTTCCTCTCTGATAAATAACAGTGGAGCAAATTATTTGTACATACTTTCACTGAATCAGTTGTTGGAACCTAAAAGAAGCATTTATTGAAATCATGAAAAGGTTGAGAATATTGTGAATATACAGATAATGTGTTGGCTGTGGCATAAATTTGAACCATGTCATCTGTTGACCATGTTTTGCAATTTAGGTCAGGGACATGGCATGAAAACCAGCTCAATTCCCGGGGAAAACAAAAATGAAAATAAAACACCATAGTGGTCTGGATTCACCTCAAGAAAGAACATTTTTCAAAATAAAGGTTTTATCAGAGCAGCAAAAGGGCCGAGTCTCTGAATCCCACTGGCCCAAAGGAAGAGAGCAGTATGACCTTTCCTTGGAGTGTTTTGGATGTTTTTTGGATGCAACACCCGTGTTCCCATTGCCATTGCGATTTCCAACATCCTCCTCCTTTCGTGAAAACAAATAGAGCCATCAAGCTACACAGAAGAAGACAAGCATGTTTCCAAACCGACAATGACATCCACAAGTCTGGTTCATGAGACTCGGTATCGGATTCACACTGGCACACAGCTGTTTTTATTTCAAAAGGGAATCAACATAATAAAAATACACCTCTACACCTGACAAAAATGTAATCGAAATCATTCATATTTTTGTCTAACGAGAATGTGTTTTATTCCCTTAAAAAACAAAGACTGGTGAATCCACAGAAACATGATTACAGACTACTGATGCTTTACCTCTTCTTAGGAGAGTTAACTGTTCATGACCTGAGATTAATATTAACTTTGATGAAACAGGTAAATCCATAACGTAGTGTAAAGGTGCATACAAAATAATTGTACGCACAATAGGTTTGGGTAAAAAAAAAAAAAAAAAAAAAAAAAAAAATCTTTCAGAATGAGAACATTTTTTCCACTAATTCAGTCTATGTACTTGTTTTAATAAGCATATGAGTATGATTCTTATTGTTTCACCAATGCAGCTAACTGTCATGAGAAATGAGTTTATTTTTAGGAATATTATACAACTTTATGAATCATGAATTAAATGTTGCTCAGATGAGAGCTTTTATGCCTCATTTTTTAAAATTGTACTGCATACCAATATTACAAAACTTGAATACCTTTGACCAGCACATCAGCATCTACTTCTTAATGCGTGCAAACTTAATCCATTGGCTGGATGATCTCTAATCTGTGACTGACAAAATATACTCTTGAAAACAAAACATTGTTAAATTACCAGTTACTTCAAGCCTATTTTGAAAACAACGGTTGATTCCAACTGCAGAATTTCCTGATTAATTGCTTGTGAAGGTAAATCCTATGATGAGAAATTTCCTTTTCCATTTGTTTCCCTTTTTCCTCTTTTTTTGCAGTGACCTTTGATGCTGTGGGAACAGTCTCTGGAAGCCATGCCTGCGGGTTTAACAGTCCCCATGTAGTCGAGGTGCTTGATGGAGGGAGTCACCCAACCTCCTGCACTTAGGCACCCCAACATTGCAGATCACCCTGACCCTACGTCAACCCAGATGGGCCCATGTCAGACGCTGGTAATGGAGGCAAGGCAGTTGGGGGATTTCTGCAGTTTCTCAGGTTGCGTGGTAGGGGGCTCTGGGATTGCACGGAAGCTGAACGGGGGGCCGATGCTGGTGGTACCCATGTGGCCTGGACTCAGGGCCGGATTCTGTCGCCGGTTACTCTCCACGATGCTTGAGGTGTTGGACGCCAGACTCTCCCGTGTGCTGAGAAAGCATGAAAAACAATAAGTCCTCACAAAGAGAAAATGCAAAACCTCACACTATGTGGTTTAACTCTGGCTTGCAGGATTGTTTAGCTGTACAAAAATGGATCTAGATCTTGATGACATCAATAACATATTCGCACAACTAAACCAGAAGCACTGAAAGCCAACAATAAGAAAGCAGTATATATTAAAATGTATACAAAATAATATATTTATATTGAAGGTAGAAGTGGAGTAAAGGAATAGTCTTCATTGACTGTATTCCACAGAATGTTTCCACAGAAAATAGAGATTTTCCCTGTTCTTGTCCATTAAATTACAATAGGCAGGTATTGAAGCCATCAAAGTAGCCTACTATAAAAAAAAGGTCCATATACTAGTGTTGTGGGAAACTGAAAGTCTTCACATAGCTCTCCAAGGTGAAGCAAATGTCATATTCATAACTGAATATTTATTTGAGTAATACTACTTTAGTAATACTTTCATGGCGTCTTGTGTTTTCTGAGGCATAAAAGTATATCAAAATACCTTTTTTGTGTGTCACGGTAGAAAGTAAGTCATAAGTCAATGATTTGTCAATGACATATTTTGGGCGGAAACTATTCCTTTAAATACAAAGTTTAAACTCAGATAGGATGTATTTAACAAGTACTGCATAGAGAAAAGTGCCGAGGTTTTTTTGTGTCCCACTCCGTATAATTGCATTACTACCTCACATCCATCACAAACTAAATTGTGTCTGCACAAGAGCTATGTTGGTGTTTTTCCAGGAGCTGTAGAATGACATCATCACTAATGTTATGAGTCATCCAGAAAATAGTGAATGATTGGGTTCTGTCTGTGTGTGTGTGTGTGTGTGTGAGAGAGAGAAGGGGCTAGGGGTCTTAAAATCAGAGACTTGTGTCAGTTTGTCTTTTAAGCTTTTTGGGGCAATTAATTTTAAAGCAAACACAAGACATATAGACTAAGCTTATGGCGCAAACAAAGGACAGGCACTTTGCAACTCTCAGATAAAGGGTCTTCAAATTTGTGTGGGAGTGCAGAAATAATGTGACTGCCAGGGCCACAACTTTTGTATATTCAAGGCACTGATCATATAAATGTTCATTGCATTACACACAAAACATTAAAAATTTAATGCAAAGTTTAGTTAAGAGAATGTTTCTATGAGAGTTCAGTATAGAGCTTGCTTTTCAAGAACTGGCATATCACTCAAAGCACGAGGAGTCGGAATGTCATTAGTAGGTGAAAAATAAAACACAAACTCGCAGTGTACTGTAAGAAAAACAATATTTTGGCTGAAAATTAGAACCTTTTCCATTAAGTCTACAGACATTTCCTTCAACCATAATACACAATGCAATGTGTAATTCAAAATATGGGCAAAACTCCAGTGAAAAATCAATTAAGACATTTCTTAATATTAACATGGTACATTGCCCTTTTATTTTATGTGCCTTTCTTAATAGTGTATTGTAAGCAGTAGAGGCAGCACATGTGCAAAACATGTAGGCTCTCTCAGTTATTCTACTCCTGCCATATCCCTCTGAATGAGTCATACAGACACAAGGGGTCTATTTTTAGCAACTGAAAAAAGTCCTCACCCTCACTCATAAAGGGCTTGCTAACACATACACAGCCCTGGGAAACCCACTTAAAGGCTGTCTGTGGTGGTTTGTGGCCTTGACGAAGGAAAAGGGAGAAACCATGCTATACACCTCAGTATAAGATGGGATAAGAAATTATATGATGTGCAATGTGCTTCAAATCAAACATGCATTTAATAGGTGACGTCTAGTTAAAAACTGTAATGAACAAAAAACACCAGACATAAACACTATGTCATTTCGTGGGATGTCAGAAAAGAGAAGTTGACTCTGGCACATTAGCAGTTTATATTAATTAGTTTAATCTTATGACTTTGGGGAAAAAAAATAAATTGAGGCACTAAACACTTGTTCACGATCAACAATGTAAACTCAAATGTGGGTTTTCAAATTGTGGCATCTTCTTGAGTACTTACCGAGGGGAGTTAAACCCACTGTCTACAGTCACACTACTGCTGTCCATGCTGTCCAGCCGTGCCGAGTGAGCAGTCTTCTGGCTGTTGTTATTCTCGCTCTCCTTAGGGCTAAGTAGAGTCAAGTTGTTCTCAAATTTCCGCTGTAAATCCCGGTCTTTCTCCCGTTCTAGCAACCACTGCATGGTCCCACCACCTCCACCACCACCATCTCCAGCCCCTGCCCGCCCCTTTGATTCTGTCGGGGCCGCCTCTTTACGGGAGGCCTCCTCTACCTCCTCCTCATCGTCATCATCTGACACGTTGTAATAGTCAAAAGCAGCTTCAGATGTGGAGGGAGCACCCTGTTCTGTGCCTGTAGGTGCCGGGTCAGAAGCAGACAAAGGGGTGGAGTTAGGTGGCTGTTGGGTCTCCAGAGTGTCAAGGACCTCGGATGATTTCATATGCGGAGTCTTGCGCAAAGTGCCTGGCTTTGAGTAGCCACTGTCCACATAGCTCACAGTCAAAACATTGAGTGGCGGTTTGAACAAAGTGTCCTTACTGAAAATCTCTTTCCTCTTGTCCACCCCGCCACCAGTGCTACCACCACCTCCCCCGCCCCCTGGGTCAGTGTTGTGTTGGTGCTGTATCAACCGTCCATTGGGCATCGGCTCAGGTGTCTGGCTCGGTGTGGGTTTGCCAGAACCGTTGTGCCCCTTTGTCGAGGAGTCCTCTTTGTACTCCAAGGGGTGGGGAGAGGGGAGGTGCGGTGTCTGCCGGTCAGCTGGAGAGCCCTTGCGGATTCCGTCGGATGGAGTTAAAGTGTCATGGTCGGATTTGCACAGAGGCAGCGGGGCAGTAAGGATTGTTTCATTCGATGTATTGCACTGAAAGTAGTCATCGGCCAAAGGCTTTGGCGACAGGGCCTTCAGGTCGCTGTAGGCTGGGAGGCTGTCCCTGCTCTTGTTCCGTTCTAGAGGGCTACAGAGCCTCGAGTCGTCCAAACTCATTTTGCCTATATCAAGTACGGACATTTCTGAGCTAAACTTGGCAGCAGAAAACATGATGCATGAATAGTGCGGGGCCTTTTGAGAGGAGGCCCTAAGCGTCCCATCGTCGGTATAGTATCGGCTTCTGTCATCGGGACTGCGGTCGTAATCCTCAGCCGTGCCGAGCGTGGAGCTCCCACCTCCCAGCGGGCCCTTGGAGTTGTCCATAGAACGTGATCGCTCTTTAGCCTTATCGGGCCGCTCGTTACGTGACTTGCGGTCCTGAGTGTGGCTGTGGCTCCGGTGCACTCTAGAATGTGACGTCCCACGTGAAGGCTCAGGGAAAGGCATCTCTGTCCGCCTCTTTGCAAGCTCCCCTGAAACATCCCACTCCGGAGTGACAGGAAAGTGTGACTCAGCAATGTTGGGGTTGCTGTGGACAAGATAGGCACCACCGCTTCTGCGTTCCACCGTGTACATTCCCTCTCTTGGTGAGCGTACCAGAGAATGGCTGAAAAAACGGTAGTCCCTTTCCAGGCTGACTGCTGGCAGGTCCAGATTGGAGCCCTCGGAGGGGTCTCCCCGAGAAGCTCGCGTCTTGCTGTGCGAACGCGACTTCCCGTGTGGTAAACGCCGGTGACCTCGGCTGCGGCGACTGCGGGCACTGTGCTGTGCTGAGCTGGCCTTGAGGCGCTGAGCTCGTTCCTCTTCCAGCCGCTTCATTACAGCTGTGTGACGGGCCACGTTCTCCACTGTCAGGTCTGGGTTGATGCGGCGAATGATCTCCATCTCCACCTCACGGGGGATCGCTGCGGCCGACGGTGTGTCCTCATCCCTCAAGGGCCACTCCTCTGGAGGGAACTGTGCTGAAAAGGTGGCCAGCTGTTTGGTCTTGTCCTTTTTGAAGCTCAAGCGGAACAGCTTCAGTCCAAACTTCTTAGACTGCCTCTCACTGCTGCCCCCACTACTGCCCTCCTTCTTCTTGGTTAGCGTGTCTGTCTTGTAAGAGAAGGTGGCGGTCATGCTCTTGCTCTTATCGGTGGGGTCAGGTGGGTGCTGAATGGTAGCTGGAGCGGGTGGGGGTTGTGGGTATGAAGGGGGATCTCCTTTGGGTTCTTTTGGGGATTTCCTTTGAATTGTGGAGGTATGAATGCTGGGCACCTCATCGCGGTAGGCATTATAGGAGTCGGAGTGGTTCTTAGGGTTTGGCCTTTCTCGTACACAGCCAGAGGTGGAGGGAGTGATGGTTCCAGATTGTGGTGATGTGCATTGTTGTTGAGGTGGCACCTGTTGCTGTTGAAGCTGTTGCTGCTGCTGTTGTTGCTGCTGCTGCTGTTGTCGTTCTGGGTGTCGTTCGTCCAGGTGGTACCACTTACTGTTGGTGCGGATGAGAGACGGGGTGATGAAGTAGGTCTGTGGAGTAACAATGAAGTAGCCTTCTGGTGTGGGGTAGATCTTCCTCTCCCGAACCAACATGTTCAGCGTGTGCCGCAGGATCTCTGGACTCGGAGTGGGTACACCTGAAGAAAATACAACCATGTGTAAATTTCATAAAAAAAATTTCATAGTGCAAACTAAGTGTAAGTGCTGACACAATGTTTTCTATTTGGCTAAAATATGTGATATGATAATAATAAAATGGGTGATGCAGATTAGTGCTGATGTCAGTATTATCCAAAACAGTTCTGACATGCCAAAAGCAGGATAAATAACTATAGAAGGCCAATCAAAAGAAGAGCATTGGTTGCTGATTTATGTCACCACCAATCACAACAAACCAGCCATTACCTCATCTTTCATCATCACGTCTGTAAGCCCTTCAATGTAATAAGACAAAAACTGCCATTGTGTGACTTACCAAAGGGGCCCTCCTTCATAAGATTACCTCAAACAATGATAAAATAAAAATAATAATAGTTAAAATAATAATATAATAATAATAATAATAATAAAATCTTAATCTGGGAGAAACTACCAAAACAATTTAACAGTTTTAAGAAGTGAAGATATTTTCCTTTTTAGAAATTTTCAGATTTCACACCAGTGGTCCAAAATCATATTTTGAGAACCACTGTTGTGTACTTTGTTTTTTAAAAATTAAATCCTATTAATAAAAATATATTCATATACAATTATAATGGCTCAAAAGCACTCAAAGACAGATATCAGATTTGTGACATGACTCAGTACTGTGGATGTTTCTTTGAGTTTAGTATTCTTTGAATCACATGTGTAAACTAAGTAAACATCGTCTGTAACTCACAGACAAGGAGCACCAACAAGGTAGACTGCACTACAGGGTACATGGTGTCCTCGCTGCACTCAAGTCCTCACTTCAACCAAATCAGCTTTTCAACACTCTCAATCACGGAAACACACACACACAACGGATAAAGGAGCTGATAAGCTGTAACTAGTCAGGGTTAAGTGTTGCCTGACATTACATCATACAGTGGTAGTTGCCATACCAACATGACGCAACCCAGAGCCTCTGTTCATTTTTTTCTTTTTTCTTTAAAGGAAAGCAGGCAGACTAATCAGGTGAAGTTTGCACACTTTGCACATTGATTGACTGATTTCTCTGAACATCGCTGGGCAAACAGAAGGTGTACAACAGGCTCATTCTACAGAGATTATTCAAAAATAATGTTTGAAAAAATACAAAAATATTGCTTTGGACTTTCGCTTTTTTCTGAAACTGTAAACTATTGGAGTTTCCCATGAGAAAAATAGTGCCATCATGAATTGTATTTCCACCAGTACCATATTAAGGCAGAAAAACAAATTGTATCAAATCACAATAATCATAACCAACAATTACAATAGTTTAGAAACACATTTTGTTCCAAAAATATTTGTATAAAATGTACATTATTATAAAATCATTTTGATTTTGGCAGGGTGTGAATATTTTCCATTTCATTCAACAAAGTGAATATGAACACTTATTAAAGGCGTACCGTTAGTGATTCAGGATAAGAAAAAAACACGGTTTGGAAAATGGATTCAAGATGTAGCCTACTCTTTCATTTTGAACATGAGTTATGGACTGCAGCAGCTGATTCAATGGCGTTCTGTTGCGCGAGCGTCCACTCGCGACCACAAAAAAATGGTTGCATATGCAACCAATTTGGTCGCAGTCTGGAACCCTGTTAAAAGTTGTTATAATCCTACTCTGTGCGTTTGCTCGGCGGCTACTATATGAGACTCATTTGACACTGCAGTGAACTAGATCTTACATAATGTGCCTTTAAAATGAATTATTATCAATTCTAGAATTCAAAATAAAAATAAAAAAGTGATAGTTAGGTGGATCATTATCCCCTCCCAGCCCTAGTACATAAGTGTGTTTGGAGGGCTACCCGGGAAGCAGGTGGCAAGGTGCTCCGTCAGCGCATCTTGTGTGACAGGCTTGCGGGCAGAGTTCATGGCTGAGATGGCCAGACACAGAATCTCTCCCAGTGGGATGAACTGAGACTGACTGATGGGTGACATACTGATTGGAGATACATCGCCTAGAGACAGAGAGAGAGAGAGAGAGAGAGACAAAAAAAAATGTTCAGTCTTACTTTACTAGAACATGTTTGTGTTGCATTAAAAAAGATGACATTTAAGGACCAATCAGTTGCCCAACAAGCAATCAACAAAACAAAAAAACCCTAAGGGTAATTATGCCGAAATTCAAGATGTCTCCAATAGAATTAATGTGGAACCTGTTAAGAGAGAGAGGACAAAAGAGGAGTTTAAGGCCAGGGAGGGGTGTGGAGATTTCAAGATGCTATCCGGTCACAGCAGTAGCATGAGGGTCATCCAGGGTGTGTGATCACATGTTGCTAAATGTGACCTTATACTGACGACTCAGCGATAAGCCCCTCTGCCTGCGTAGGCAGAAAGACCCCAGGCCATGCATCAATATTGATCCCAAAAAAGCATCCATGCATATTGGATTTACTAGAAACACAGCTCAGAGCAATCAAACATATCACATTACACATCTGAGAGATTATACTTCACTTTTGCACTTTTTCATGAAAACTAAAATGCCCCAGGAATGACTGTCAAGTCATAATGGAATATAATAAAGAAATAAAAATTAAATACAATTTTATCTAATGTATGTATTACCCACTATTGTGAGATAATAGTCGAGAACTGAGTCAGCATTATCTAAACCGTTGCTGGCAAGGCAAGATTAATATTATAGATCATTTATACAGTTTTTCTTATTGAAATTAGGATCAATTCGGTCAAAGGAGAGGATGAGATGATAATAAAACGCATAATTCTATAGCATTGTTCATAAAACAATCATAAATTGTACACTTTAGCAATCTTTATTGCTTGGAGATGATGTCCAAACTGATTAGCAGCAAAATAAACACTGATAAAGTGTCCGTTGATGTGCTTAAAAAGACGAAAAATATCGGAAGAAAAATCATATCTTTTACACAGAGATTAAACTGTAAGCCTGAAAAACTCCTTTAACCTTTAAAGATTATGTTATGCTTCGCTACATAGCTCACCATGCTAAAAGAAAGCATAAAACTGGTCCGAGTCTAGCATGAAGGGCAACAAAGGGTCTGAAGCTGCACTGCTAACACTGCAGGATGCAGATAGGATGACATCATCCACACGGAGCTGCTGCTCTCCTGGTGTGTGTGTGTGTGTGTGTGTGTGTGTGTACGGCAAGTAAAGGACCATCACTCAAATCCCAGTCTGCTGTCTTACTGTTCAAGCAGAGTATGAACGGGCAGCAAAGTGCTGCTCGTAACCCTCTAGTCTAAATGACTTAAGAAGCATTCATGACTGTAGGGGAGGCTGGTAGCCTAGTGTTGTTTTTGTGAGGTATCAGCATGTTAGGGCTAAATTCACTTGCTCTCCATTATGAATTTTATTGTTTTTACTTTAGTAGGGGGAGGAGAGTGGGTGTGAGATGTGTGTGTGTAAGAGAGAGAGAGAGAGAAAGAGAGAGAGAGCAGAATGGAGGGAGGCGCAGAGAGACCCCTCCCTCAGCTCCTGTGCTGCAGCCATCAGAAAAGACGGCTCTGACGATGGACAATTACCCAACATGCTTCACTCCACACAAAGACAGGAGAGGTGTGACCAATCAGAAGCAAGCTTTATCCACACCTTTTTTTATACTCTCCTTCAGCACTGCTCACTGGCACACACACACAGACAGACAGATAGACAGACAGACACACACACGTTTGCTCGATCCTCTCCTCTATCTCTCTCACACACACACACACAAGCTAGTAGGTGGCCTGCTGAATTCGTTGTTATGGCAACGCATCCCAGTTGCTCTCTCTTGTTCCTCAGATGTGTGCTACTCCAGGATTTCTCTCTCTCTCTCTCTCTCTGTCTCTCTCTCCAGCACCCACCCTCCTGTTCTTCCTGTCTCCATTCCTGCTCTTGTGCTACACACTCAATCTTGTTAGTGAAAAATTGAGGAGAGTACGTTGACTGCAAGACTAAGCAAAACCTGCTCAACCACAAAGGCCATTTAGGTAAATAACCCCTATAATATGCACATACACATCCTGTCTTACTGTTGGAGTAGTATATTAACATGGAGTAGAGTATATAGATTTTATAAGAATACACATAAACACATTCAAGTTTAAAAAAAGAAGAATCTTTTTTAGCACAACTGTTTTCAATAATGATAATTATAATAAATGTTTCTTGAGCAACATATTAGAATGATTTCTGAAGGATCATGTGACACTGAAGACTGCAGTAACGATGCTGAAAATTCTGCTTTGTCATCAGAGAAATAAATGACATTTTAAAATATATTCAAACAGTAAACACTTATTTGAAATTGTAATAATATTTTGTAATATTACTGTTTTAACTGTTTTGCTGCTCTAGTGAAAAAGATTTATAATCTTACTGACCTCATTTATATGTTGTGTAATAGTAAAAATCTGACCATGTTTAAATCCATTCCATATATTTTCGCTTTGAATAGCAGAAATTGCAGAAAAAGTCAGTTGATTCCATCTGTGCCTGCTTGGTCATCATCAATAGTCATGGGAAACAGACAGCTATGACATTTATGATCACAAACAGTACTATGAATAGAACAAACAAACAGCCCGTCCTGCAAAGGAACTTGCGCTTTATACAAAACAGCATTAAACCTAATGTTCTGTTTGGGCTCCGAGAGACTCAAACATGGTTTAAAAAGCACAACAAAAAAAAACATACTTAACATCATAGTATCAGGATGCTACTTTATAACTTATGTTGATCTATACAAAGTATTTAAACTAGATCCCAAAATAGACCCCATATATAAAACATGAATAACATGTTAACAACAATAAACATGAATCATTATATAGCACTATAATGAATAAAAGCATTATTTGCATAGCCCTACACCAGTGGGATTTGTCTGGGACACCAAACAAATAAAAACAAAGTAAACCTTTATTATTTCTGAAAAATAGACTTAAATAGTGTTACATTATTCACACTAAAATACATCAAGTCTCTGTGCAATCCGGCTTGTGTTGCTGCAAGCACATAAGGTCGGTGACGTCATCCCACTGGTGTAAGGATTTGACAGGAAGGTGGAAGAAAGAGAGAGAGAGTGAAGATGAGGTCAAGAGATGAGAGATAATGTACCTCAATGTATCACAGCTAAAAGTGTTTAAGAATGTAGCATGTGCTGCAAACATTTAACAATAGTCAATGAAAATAGCAAAACACTTCACTGTCTGAAATGTGTTACGCAAAGTCATTTATAGTTATAGTTATAGTTAATTTAATATGGACTGATGTGGCTGGGGAAAAGATCAAGTGCATTTTATACTAAAAAAGGGGTAGATATATTTTTCATGCTTTGTCAATCAATGTTTCAGGATATGTCTTTAACTAAAAGCTGCCCTCCAATTCACAGGGACCCTACACAGTGTTCACTACACAAATGTATATAATAGATCTATGTCAATTTATAGAAAATATGATGTCATTGTCATATTAATGGTGGGTGATATGATATGACCAAAATCTTATATTACGATAGGAGTAATGTTATATATATAATATATAATATAATCCTCAATAGTTATTTCTGCTTTAAATAAAAGTTCTGATATTCAAAAAATATATATGCCTACCATTGAAATTTCATAATTCTTATCACCATTTTCATTTAAAAAGAACAATACTAACCTAAATAAACCCAAGCTTACAGAAGACAAGCAAACAGTAATAAAGAAAGAGCAAAGAAAACAAACTACTAAACAGAACAAAGACTCGAATCCATTCAGCCGATTTTCTTATGTTTTAGAAGAATATCAGTAACCAGACAGTTTCTGGTCTCATTGACTTCCATAGTATATATTTTTTTCTACCAACCAGAAACTCTCTGGTTACCGATATACTTCTAAATATCAGAAAATCGGCTGAATGGATTCGAAAATGTTAAAACTCAACTATTTAACTCTGAGGGACTTGAGCCTTTTTGCAAAAAAGTATCCCTAGATAAATGACTCTGTAAAATCACCTGTTTTAGAACCACAATGCTCAAAAAATGCATGCAAATAAGCGTTCGTGAACACGCACCACAGCAATGTCAAATGAGCATAATTACAATAGAAACGGTAGTCCAAAATATCTACCGGTTGACAAATTTCACCGTTTAATCGTGTAGCAGTATATATAATGAGAGATTGTTGTGAAACCACACTTGAGGTGAATCAAGATGACTAAAAGTGTTAGAGCCGCAACACATTTTAGCGCATGATCTAGGTAAACTTCCCTCTCCACTTCACGTGAAATGATTTACCTATGTGAATGTATTCCCAATGCCATTTGCAGTGCTCATCACTTTGAAAATATACTCTTCCAACAATCTGGAACCACACTTAAAATGTCTGAATATCCTGTGAAGTCCACTTAGCAGTGCACTGTTGGGCAATTGATTTCAATACAGATCTGAAATATAAACAATATAAACAATAATAAGAATCCTTTTGTCAACCATTCTGTTCCTCACTATGGGCCGGAAAATAATAATAAAATAATAAAATAAAATAAAAAGGCCAGCTGTACTTTACAACAAATGGGGGAAAAGAAACTTTATAAAAATATGTATCTTCTGTGAGAGATGTCACCATCATAACCTTATAAGACTTAGGTAGAAGTTTGACTGAGGCAACACTAGGTGGAGGCAGGAATCCAAAATGTCCAATACCAATGGAGGGGGGGAAAAGAGAGCAGCAAAATGTTTTCTAACATAAATGTATTTTGTAATCTCATAACTTTCAATCTTCTAAGTTTGTCACTCTGTCTTGAATATTCCACACATTTTGAATATCAAACAAATGTTATCCAAATCCATCTGCAGCCTGAATTACTGTATTATTAGAACCAACGTTGGATAATAAAGCAAATTCTCTTGCCTAATGGGCTCTATGCACGGCGGTATTTCCGGTGAAGGTGTAAGGATGCTCGATAACTTCCGCCGATCGTAGAGTCCAGTGCAATACCGAGAATT